GACAAATAGTAGCAGAAAAATAGAATAGCAGAGATGAGGCAGAAAAGGTAGGCTATAATCTTTAATATAAATAGCCTTGATACACTAACAAAAAGAAACACAGGCAAAGTATATTAGGAGGCAAGATCCATCGAGATGCTATGAATAGGAAATATATTCAACCTTAAAGAGGGTTAATAAACTGAAAGTCAAAGATGAGAAAACGATGCTCTATGTGACAGGGAACCAGAGAGAAATAGGGACAACTCGTCCTGCAGCCACAGATTGGAAAATTATGACACTTTTGGCAGTGTAGAACTACACAACTGGAAGGAAGGAAACCTTGTGGCTTTAGTAAGTAAAGGAGTACAGCTCAAGATCAAGCTCAGGAGTATAAAGGTTCAGCACCACTCAGATAGATAATAGGTTGACTCCCTAATCTAAAAACTGAAGGAGCTAGTGGAACCCAAAATATACAAAGTATCCCGAGAAGGGGAAAGGTGAGAAATTGCCTAAAAAAGGAAGGCAGAAGACATTGTTAATAGTGTATCAGGATTTAAAAGTCACAGTAGTCTTACCGCTCTGTTTAGTTTGATTTTATTTTGTTCTGGTCTGTCTACTCATATTAGATTTGAGGGTACAGACAGCTATCCCCAAAATAGCAGGCTATACCATGGTAACTATCCTTAATTTCCTATTAACTTAAACTGAAGCCCTGTATTACATACGTTGTCTTACCATGACTGATCTTATTTGAAGCTGGTTTGTTAGACCACTGTTTTGTGTTGACTGTTTTTATTCGAATTGATAGTATCAAATCTAAGAGTAGAGGCAACTACTCTGAAGTTGGCAAGATGTAATAACATACCCATTCCGGTTTGATTATTAACTGCTTTTGAAGTCCTGCAATGTCTCCAAAGTTGTGTTTTTATTAGAATAGCTATGTAATGCTATGTTCAGTTATATTATGTCTGATGATGTGGGCAATTCTATTGAAAATAACAAGAGAAAGCATAGTAACTACTGTAGATCTCCTAATATTGTGGTTTTATATGTCTTTTTCATTTCATGTTTTTCTAGAAATTTGTCTTGTTGTCTTGTTATGATCTGTTTTCCCCTATATACAGAAAGGATAGATACACATGTAGAGATTCGCACATGGGAAGAATTTCTAAACAGTTTACGGGAACAGATTATATAATGCACAATGTAATGAATAGATATTCTGAAGAAGAGGAGACAGTAAGAAACCCAGTGCTAATTCTGTAGCATTATGATATAAAATCCAGCAATACTATTATTCACTGTTCAGAGTGATATTAGTCTAGTCTCTTATGTTCAATTTCAGCATATGTAAAGATAAGGACAGCTACTAAGAAAGAATGAGAGACATTATGGCAGTCATTATTGACTTCCCCAATGTCAGGTCTTGAAGACCTAAAAAGCCTTCATCTTCCCCTTATGATCAGATTAGTTCTATAATGTTCACTCTATATTCAATGTGTGTGAAGATGGGGACAACTATTTGGAAGAAAACTAGAGACAATAAGATAGACAGTGAAGATCTCCAGTGGACTTGTTTTGAAATCTGTGTTTCTTAAAATTGTTTCCTTATGATTTTCTTCCTTGTTCTGTTTCGTTATATTTAATCTTACCCTCTTTATAATTAAAAAAAAGTTTTCTAATTTAAAAAAATTTAAAACTTGGAAGAATTTCAGAGGGAAAGAAAGAATGGACCTAGAGTGTAGTTCCTACAAAATTATGATGTCTTACATAGACATCAACCCCAAACTCTCAACCAGGTTTCTAAAATGACACTAAAACACAGTAAGACAGCTGTATGAAGTCACAGTCATGTTAGAATGTAAAATGCTTAGAACATCACAGATAACCATATTACTGAGTTTTGTTGGATCATTGAACAAAACTGTTTGCAGTCTCACTGTTTGAAAGTCCCTCTATATGCTTTAATTTTGTAACTTCAGCAACTATTTCTAAGATGACAATATGTAATTAACTAGTGATTTCCTACTGTTTACTTTTTCTGAAATTCTGTATAATTTGTACCCTTTTTCTGTTTTTTTTTTCTTTTTTCTCCTTAAATAAAGTTAAAAAAAAAAAAGAATATCACTTCCTGATTATTTGTCACAACTGTTGTTAGTCAGTAGGTTCTTCACGTGCGGTGACATGACTTCTTTAAGAGCCAGTAATGTCTACAGTGCACATGCCCTTTGTTGACACTCAGCTTGCTTTCCAGATCACCTATTTGTATTTCCAATGTTCTGTCAATTGTACTTGGAGTATACTGAAAGATACACATATTCTATAGTTTGGTTGTGAAAAAAGTCAAATATGTTCTACATTATCAAGAAAATGGTTCCCAGAGAGAGGCTCTGAGGGCCTGTATCTTTGCTTTGTGCCTTTTGAACTATTACAACTGATTGTTGAAATGGAGTTATCTTTAGTGTATTGGTCTTTAATTTTGTTGTTGCTGTTATTGTTGTTTTGGGGTTTCTTTGAGGGAGGGTCTTGCTTTGTAGTGTAGGCTGTCCTTGACATCACACAGATAGAAGAAACCCAAATTGGCCTCAGACTCATGGCAGTCTTCCTGTCTCAGCCTCCCAGGCATGTACCACCATGCCCATCAGTTTATTGGATTTTTTGTTTGTTTGTTTTTGAGACAGGGTCTTTCTATGTCGTTCAGACTGGTTTGAACTCAGTGTGTAATTCAGACTAGCCTGAAACTCACAGCTGTCCCCCTGCCTCAGCCTCCCAAGGGCTGGGATTACAGGCCAAGCCACGACACCTAGCCTAGCATATTGGTTTTAGAATCAACAGTTTGCTAAACTCTTATATTGTAGCATCTAAGAAAAGGCAGTGCTCTTTTTCCCCTTTCCAGTCCTTTTTCTTGTGTTTCTTTTACTGATCTTACTGAAGTGGCTAACACACTCCTGTGGGTTGAAAAATCCATGCAGACATCACTGTCAAATGCTTGTCCAAATTTGCCAAAACGGCCTGAGACATCTTCCCAGTTAGATTATTGAAGTACTTCTCATCCTTGTCTGGTCTGTTTCTGTCGTGTGTTCCCTGTTTAGTTTGAGCTACTTCTCATTACCTCACCTCTTTGCTCTCTTGGATTTTCGGTTTCCTGTAGCAGAGACCTTCAATGCCCTAGAGTGGATGCTCTCACTCTCAGCCCCTCTCCACTTTCCAGTTACCATAGCTTTAGTTCACTCTCTAAAATTAAGTCGAGGCTTTTGTGTGATACAGATAGAAGCTTGTCACCAGCTCTGATACATGTCTATGATGTTCACTTGCTCTTTTTGTGCCCCACTACAGTTGTGCTTCTTTCCTTCTTTTAGGCCTCCACCTATTGTAAGCTTTCTTCTTTCTTTCCAGCTCTCTGGAATGAAAAAGTGCACCTCATCCCCATGTCAGTCCAGTGTCCACCTGAGGGAGTGTGTGTCCACTGTCCTCGGTGCCTCCTGCAGCTTTCTCAGCCATTGTCAGAGCTGAGCCATTATTCTAGCCGGTAGCATTTGTCCTGCGACTTTTTAGGCATAAGTACCTATTTTCAGGTTTATTATTGAAATCACACACACATGTAGTAGCTTCACACACTCTGGTGAGATAATATAGTTGAAGGTAATTATTCTTTCTGGGTTGTGGCTTCTTGAATATCTCCTTTCTATTTTGTGTTCATTTCTTCAGCATTAACTAGCACTTTCTAACCCTGTCGGGATCAGCTAGTACTGACACATGACTCAAGAAGACAGGTAGCTGCCTTGCAAGCAGGTGGTCGTGAGTTCGATCCTGGGTACCGATAAAAAGGAAAAAGACAAAAAAAAAAAAAAAAAAGACAGGTAGCATTCTTTCACATGGCATTGCTGTCTGCACTGGAAACCCCATTGTTACCTTAGCAGGGTCTTCCTCACAGAATAAAGAGTAGTCAAAGATTGTTTTCCATGTGATCTGGGTGTATGTTCCTGTGCATGTTTTTTGGTAAACATCCTACTTGTTAATTTTTGTTTTCATTTTGTTCGGTTCTTTGAGAATCACTAGTTTTCATCCAGAGCTTTGTGTTGTTCAAATACTGATTAAAGGTTTAGTGACTTCCCTTTTACTAAATGCACTTGCTGGATGCAGTGCTTGTCTCTTCACTGACCTAAGAGATTTCCGTGCCTAGAGACAGATGGCGCCAAGCATCCCACACATAGATAGGTAGCGTTCTTCCTGCCAATAGTTTAGCAGTTCTGTCTCCTTCAAGGAGCTGCTCCTTATATACATGTAGTTCTTCAGTGGGTGCTATTTGTAAAAAATAAATTTGAGGACCAAGCTTAGGTTTTAAATGGAAGGTCAAACCAGGCATGGTAGTGCCCGCCAATAATCCCAGCACTTGGGAAGTTAAGGCAGCTTCTTTGGCCAGCCTAGACTACACACTGAATTCAAGACCAGCCTGAGTTCCATAGGAAGACCTTCTCTCAAAAAACGAAAAAAACAAAAAAGATACTATATAGAGAAGGGAAAACTGATAAAAATGACTTGCCAAGAGAACTTTGGCATATTCCCCAGTGCCATCATCAGTGGGGTATAAATTTCTTGAGTGATCAGGAAGAGAATATTTACATTGAGCCTGCAAAGATAAGTAGCGTTTTTTTTTTTTTTTTTTTTTTTTTTTAGCCCAGTACAAATGATTAAGACCATACTAGCTGGAAGACCAGAAAATGTTTTGAACTGGATGATAATGAAAACCCAGTATACCAAATTAACATAGGACCCAACCAGAGCAGTGCCTTGCTGGAAAGTTCTGGAATCTGCCATGTGTGTTGGGCCAGAGTCTTTAGTTATCTCATCATTCCACTTTGCAGATAAAACTGGAGAGATTAATTGATCCAGAATTGTTCAGTGAAACGTGGATCTCAAAGCCAAGAGTACCTGAATCCAAAGTCTACACAGATTTTTGTGACATTTTTACCATTTCTGGAGATTTGTGATGGAAACTCTGTTACTCTTCTTCCTAGGAGCCAGATATGAGTTTGAAAGCTCTTCAGAATGAAGAAGACATTGATGATCCATTGACAGTTCTAAAAGCACTCTTACAACAGGTGGAGTGAGAAGAGTTATTTCTGTTTATGAGGACATCAGATTGTATTAGATTGTATTTCCTAAAATGAAAAATGTCCCTATTTTAATTTAATCACGTCTTCAAAGGCTTCTCTGTGTAAAATAACATGAAGTATTGACGATTAAAGATTCAACGTATGAAATTTTGAGGCGTTAGAGTTGATTCTGAAACAGCTACATATTAGTGTCATTTAGAACTTGTTTGTACTTCCAAAAATCCTAAATAATGCCAGGAATTTACCAAACCTCAGGTTACTGCTCTTTTAATAATTAAACTATGATGTCTAGAAAGTGGCAAGATTCAGGTCTAAACTGAGGCTTAAGGTACTTTAAAAATTTTTTATAATGAAATAATCTTGATTAATCCACTTACCATCTTGTGTTTGGGGCACATTTATCAATCTCTTTGAATTTGTGTTGTAATTATTTCTTATCAGATTTTCTTAAATGACTTTGCATTTCTTTTGTAAGGAGGAGAATAATCTAATTCCTGTTGATCAACTAGGCCAGAAACTCTTGAAAAAGATAGGAATATCTTGGAACAAGAAGTACAAAAAGCAGCATGGACCACTGCTAAAGGTAATGAACGTCATCAATGTGGGAAATCCTACTCCCAGGAAACTTATTACCACCTCTCCTACAGATTTTCAGGCAGGAGGGCATTTAAAATAGGTGAGTTTTAAGGTCAGCTTGGGCAGCATAGCAACTCCCAGGCCAGCCTGGATTATAGAGCAAGACCCTGTGTGGAAAAAAAAAAAAAAATGAAAATAAAATGAGCAGTTTTGCATAGTGGTTATAATTTAGCTGTTACTTCTTTGTTTTTGTTTTTTGCTTTTTTTTTTTTTTTTTGAGACAAGATTCTTACCTGTGTAGCCTAGACTGATCTGAAACTGAAGATCCTCCTGTCTCAGCTTCCCAAATGCTGGCGTGAGAGATGTGGGCCACCAGCTCCTGCTTAAATTATTTACTAAGTATTACTTTATGAATTACCAAGAAGAAAACAACAAAAAGGAGACCTTGGCTCCTAATCATCAGTCTGCTGCTCAGATTTCTTACATCCTGAATCATCTGCTTTCCCAGGTCGTGAGATCAGATGCAGTCACAGATAGTGTCAGAAACTAGAAAGCACAAGTTGACTGAAAACAAGCAGAATGACAGAATATCTAGTGAGCATTCCAGAGCTGTTTAGATGAGAGCAGAGCATTCACCTGATAAGGTGTTTAAATGCCTCCTTTAAGGGGCTGGGGATTTAGCTCAGTGGCATAAGCACCTGCCTTGCAAGCAGATGGTCATGAGTTCGATCCCTGGTACCAATAAAAACCGAAAAAGACAAAAAAAAAAAAAAAAAAAAGCCTCCTTTAATTAGTCCATCAAACCTCAATTTTCTGTTACTTGCATTATTGTGGAGAGTTGGGTCAAAATATTTTAGGGAATTTATATTTTTTGTAGTGTCAAATTTACTGACATAGTCAGGCATAGTGGCACATGCCTGTAATCCCAGCAGTTGGGAAGAACAGGAAGGAGGATCACTGTGAGTTTGAGGCCAGCTTGAACTACATAGTGAGCTCACGGCCAGCCTAAAACGTATAGTGAGACCCCATATCAAAAAAAAATTATTGGCATAAAGTTGTTTAAAATGCTCCATGTTAATTATTTTGGCATCTTTAGAACCTGAGGTTATGTCCCTTTTCGTTTCTAATATGTTTATATTTCCTTGTTATTGTTTTTTTCCTCTTTCTTGCTGGGGATTACTAAGCTTACTTTTAAAAGAACAACTTTCACCTTTGATATATTTAGATAAAATCCTATGTGAGACTCCTGCCTTCAGTTTGAACCGTGTCTCACCATAGCTGCTGCAGACCAAGATAGATTAACACAGAGGTCACCTAGTTTGCCCTCTCTGGGAAGACTCTGTCTTTATGCCTGCCTGCTTTATTACTCCCCTAACAGTCATTTGCATTGTCTTTAGAGTTTGTTATTTTTGTCAGGAAGATTGGTTTTATGAAGCTTTCTCCCATTCCTGGAACTAATTAGTGCTGAAATTTGAGGTGTAAAAGAATTAATCCCCAAGTATCAAGCAGTGAAGAACTTGATGATACAGAAAGTTCATTACTCTTGCTTTCAAATGATTGGTATTTAATTGCCCTTAAAACAAATCAACTAGAAAACTATTTTACCATCTGTTCTCATGCATAGTGTTAGCAGCATTGTCTTTAGGTCATACTCTTAGTCCCTTCTGTATGTGATGAAATGATACTTTTGATTAGAGCACTGATTATCACAAATTAAATTTCGAGAAAAATGAGTCCCCTTTGTGTGTTGATTAGTGAGGTAAGCAATGTCATGGCTAGCGCCTCATGCTTGTATGTATAGAGGCATTCCTGCAGGGAAAAGGAGGAGGTACGAGGCCACAACAAAGTCAAGGAGTAAGAGAGAAGGCAAGAAGGGGTGAGGAGAGACAGGAGTGGGGAGATACTGTTACTGGTGTCGTAATGGCCAGTTGGTGCTTTGCAAACCTTTACTGTCCCAAAGAACTGATGAAGGTGAAAGTTTTACATTTATTTAAGGAAAATGAAGTGCAAAGGAGAGGTGTTTGCAAAGAAGTGCTCTGAAGAGTAAGCATAGGCCAGTTAAAGTAGAAAAAGGTGTACACCCTGCAGAGTGAGGGTGGGCTACTGAGAAGGCTCACAGCAGCCAGGGGCTTAGTGGTCACCATCTTTTATAACCTCCTTCTGATGTGAGATCTAAGCCCTCCTGTCAACAACCCACTTATTCTTGTATGATACAGTTGTCATCAGGTATAGGGCCTTGCTTGGTCTCGTGAAGTTCCTGTGTGAGAAGAATTAAAGGTCATACTGTTTATGATTAACAGATTGCCCAGTTGCCCCAACCACTTTGCCATGCACTATAGTCCCCTGCTTCATTTCCTCATGATTTTTTATGGGTGAGAGAGTGGAAATCTCTGTAGTAATATAACTACTTCCTGCTGAAAGGGACTGCCGGCCCCACCTACTGGGAATTCTGTATAGTACTCTCTAACCACAGTAGGATAATGTGGCTCACTAGCTGAGCTGAAGAAAACCTGTCAGAAGACATCAGAAAAGGAGTTACACTAGTGCCTGTACATGGAGAACCACTGAGCTGCCTGTTTAATGGAAGAGAGCTCAGTGAGCCTGTCATGAGCCTGCTGAAGCAGAAAGGGCTATTAGTCAGGCTGCCAAGGTCTCTAGAGTGAGTCTACTCATGTGCCCCCGAAGGAGAACTGGAGTTGCTTTTTGAAGAGGAGCTTCAGATCTTGCAAGCTTCCCATAAATAATTTTAGTCCTGTGAAAATTTGAGTGATCATTTCCCATGAGGGTTTTTATACCTTGTCACTGTGTCCCTTGAGGAAGGAGAATGGTTTCTCAGGAACTGGGGATGAGGCTAGGGTATTGAAGGGCTGCAGAGCTGCCTATCAGGCTTTTGATTTTCCGAGAAGACTTTAGACATGTTCCTTTGGTGTCCCTTGCCATAAATGACAGCAGCCTGGGAAGATAAATTACCTCTAGGAGCTGTACTTAGCCCCTTTCTTTTCTTTTTTCTCAGATTGTCATGTGGACATGTAGCATGAAAGGCATGGTGACAGTCACTCCTCCAGTGCTGTGACACAGAGCAGAGCCAGGCGATAGCTTGGGACAGTCCTGTGCCCTGTGTTCTTGTGTGGATGGGAACTTCTGTCCTAGAACAGTCCCTTACATTAAAAGATAACCAAAGTTTGTAGTTACTGCTTTATTCCAGCAGAGTTTGAGTTGTTGGTTTTAAACCTGGTAGTGGTTCACTGTGTGGTTGCCATAGTTCTGTGTTTTCTTTAGATTGCTTTTAAATCTTTCAGATGAGTATGTTCTACCTAATGGGTTTCATTTAAGTACTTTAAAAGAAAATTAAAAACCAGGGTTAGTGAGGTGCAGAAATGATTTTCAGATTGTGGCTTGGCTCTCTCCCTTTATACGACAGTTGAACAGAGCATTCCGATTTTTATTGTCATGTTAGCCAGGCATAGTGGCACGTGCATGTAATCCCAGCACTCAGGAGGCTGAGGCAGGAGGATCATTGGGAATTCGAGTCCAGCCTGCACTACAAAGTGTGCTCAAGGCCAGCCTGAACTGCATAGTGAGACCTTGTCTCAAAAAGACAAAATATAAAATAATAAAATAAAATGTGACTTTATACTGAACAAGTACTCTACCCTTGCTCATCAGCAGAAATAAAAATGAAGTTAAAAAATCTAATCCCAAAAAGGAAGAAAAATAATTCTTTTTTTTTTTTTTTTGGTCTTTTTCCTTTTTATCGGTACCGGGGATCGAACTCACAACTGCCTGCTTGCAAGGCAGGCGCTTAGAAAAATAATTCTTATCAAGTCTAATTTTAAAAATTTATTAATTTAGTATTTTTTGTTTGTTTGTGTCTGTGTAGTTCTTACAGGTCCATTCTCAGACATTTCTGCTCAATTCAGATGCAAGTACGGTTAGTCTACAGAAGAAGTTTTCTCTTCAGGCTGGGTCTGGTTACCAAAGTAACGGGCAGCAGATTCTCCAGATGCACCCTTCAAAACCCCCAGGATCAAATGATAGCCCCACTTGTCCCCACTGGTTTGATATAAATGATTCCAAAGTCCAGCCAATCAAGGAAAAGGATATTGAACAGCAATTCCAGGGTAAAGAAAGTGCCTACATGTTGTTTTATCGGAAATCCCAGTTGCAGAGACCACTTGAAGGTATGGAAAGGAAAGTGTTCCTAATGTTTAGTGACTGTATACAGAATGCTTGAATTTTTCTCTTTAAAATACCTTCAGCCTAAGTAATATTTTAAAGAAGTAATATATTATGCCAAGTGAACAGTTTGTCATTTTATAAAGATTATATATTTCTGTTTAATTTTCTCCACTGTAATGAGAGATTATGATTGGGTTTTCTTGGATTTTGTAATATTTTTTTCTTGGGCTGGGCATGGTGGTGTACACCTGTAGTCCCAGCGCACAGGAGGCTAACGCCTACATCGCGAGAACCTGTTTCAAAATTCCTTTCTTTGGTTGGCAGACTTGAATGTGATTGCACTATTGTATTCAGGCTTGTGTCTGTCATTCAGCCACATTGCCTTTGAATTATGTAAGTGGCTTTGGTCTTAGTTTCTTGTCTTCTTTATTTCTCTATTTCTTTTTTCTTTTCCATGAAGATAATGATCCCTCCTGAGCAGTCAAAATTTCTTTGAAGCATTGCATTATGCCTAGAGAAGTTAGTGTTTGAGACCTGTAATAATGAGTATTTTTAACTGAAGCTGTTAACATGAATGAAAAATCAGCCAAATTTTTTTGTTTTCTCAAAGTCCTTTCAGAAGCAAAAAACTCATAGAAGGAAAGCTTTTTAGATTGCAGCATAGATATGATATAAGATGAAGAGAATGTTCATAGAGAATGAGAACAGTGACTTTTTTTATAAAGAATAAAAATAAAGCAGTTGCTAATTTGCATGAGAATCAAAGAAAATTAACCTGATACATCTGAAACAGTTACATGACTATGCTGTTAACCAAAAAGGCTTTGTATTTTTCTGGGGGAAAAAAAAAGATATGAGACTAATTCTGACAGAAATATTGTGGATCAAAATTCACAATTACAGTAATATATATTAATAGGAAAAGTGTCTCCATAATGTTTTTTCACTGACTTGAATTTTAGTATGATCATAATTGGGATATGTAAAAAATGAATTTTTCCTAAAGTTAGCTCAGTAATTTAATAGAGGCCCACCCAAAATATGTATGAATTTTTTGAGAATGAAGGGACAGATCTTTATAAAAATGATTCTAATGGTCACAGAGAAAGATAATGAAAATGAAAGAAAAGACAGCTGATTGTATTGTATCTATAAAAACATAAAACTAAACCAATGAAGATACAGTAGAGTTAATGCCAAGAGGTAGGCAGATTATTGAAATAGAACAGTAAGCCTGGGGATTGATCTGAGTGGCTATGAGATTTTAATCCATGGTAAGCAAGATAGCTGTGATAAATGGGAAACTGAATTACTCAGTATATACAACTGGGAAGTTGATTTGTTGCTAAGGAAATAACTAAAGCACTTTCTACTATTCTGCCAGTCACTTCAATTAAATTGTAGCCCTTTTCAGGAGAAAAAAGCAACATTAAAATATGTAAAATATAAAGGGCTGGGGATTGCGCTCAGAGGCACAAACGCCTCCTTTGGCAAGAGTAAGGTCATGAGTTTGATCCCCGGTACCCCTCCCCCAAAAAAGTAAAATATAAATATTTGTCCTTAAGATAAAAAAGACCTTTCTATAGAAGCAAACAAAGAAAAATACTAAGGAAAAGCAATGTAAACTTTAAACAGAATTAAAAAGCAAATGACAAGGTTATATAGATATATATATCATGGCACTCATTATATATGCTCAGGAAAAGGATAGAAAGAAGAAATCCTATGTGTTAATTTTTTTAAACCTAAACTATAATTAGAAAAACTTGAAACAGCAGCTTTTTCTCTGTCGTGTCAAATATTTCTATGAACCTTGCCAGACGTGGTGGCACGACCTGAAATTCATGGAAATTTGAATTGATGTTTATTCCACAACTTGTAGATATGTAAATTAATGCAACCAATTTAGGTGTGCATATTTAAAAGCCTTAAAACTATGTACCCCCTTAAGTAGTAACTGTCGCAAATTTGTCTTGAAATAGAACTGATATGAATATGCTCAGAGATGCTTGTTAACCCCACTATTTTATAATAGTGACTAGATGGAAATCACCTTACTGTACAACAGAAAAACGTTGAATAATTAGTTATGCTAAGTATAGAATGAACTATTACAGAACCATGTAAGGTTGTAAAAAAATACAACATGCAATGAAATAGCAAGTTACAAATATGTAACTCGAGTTATTTTTAAAAGTGTATGTGTGCATGTTTTAGGAGTGAGATTACAGGTATAGTAGTATCTGCTACTCTTTAGAAAATAATTTCTAGAATTTTTATAGTAACCAGTCATTATATTTATAATCAGGATAAAAATAGTGTTCTTTCTTAAAACATACTTAGAAAGAGTTGAAGAAATGAAATTCTTATAGCTTGGCTTAAAAAACAGCCAGCCTTTCATCTGGTCATAGAAAACAGTTCCAGGGAAGATCCACATTCACACAACTAGTCAGATTTCTCAGCTCTCAGCACCTGTCCTTTCCAGTCTTCTTAGCACCTCTCAGCACCAGATTTATTTAGTCAACACTGATTAATGAGAAGTTTTGCTTACAGCTCGAGCTAATCCCCGATACAGGGTTCCTTGTCATTTGCTGAAGGAAATGGATGCAGCCAACATGGAACTGCAGATGAAAAGGTAATTCTAAGTTACTTTCAGAGTTTGAATAGTTTTTCTGGGGATGGGAATCGAATTTCGGTCTCAAGTTTTTAATAATGAAAATTAAAAAGAAAAAATGGCCAACTATTTGGCTGCTGAATTTTTATAGTAAAGTTGTCATTTACTTTGAAGTAATCCTTCAAAGGATTATTATGAGGGTGACATATTCTAACATAAAATAGCCATTGCTATGTAGATATGGAAGCCCGAGAAGCTAGAGAAATCAGTGAGTGCACAGTTGGGAAAATGAATTCTACGAAGACAACTTGTCATTAAAACCACTCTCACTTTTTTTTTTTTTTTTTTTTTTTTTTTGAGACAGGGTCTTGCTAGTTCAGGCTGGTCTTGAACTTACTATGTGGCCCAGGCTGACCTCCTACTTGCAGCAGTCCTCCTGCCTCAGCCTCCCAAGTGCTGGGATTATGGGCCTGCATCACCATAAATGGCCTTACCCTCACTTTTAAGTAGTTATGGAAAACTGACTTCCAGTGATGGCAGAATAGAGGTAGACTATTTCTCATAAGGAAAGATTAGTAATTCTCTACATCCTTGGGTTTAGTGTCAGTCTTGGGCAGAAACCTAAGTGGATTTTTACAGATGGCTGCTGTGAGTGTCATGATCTCAACATTGTCTTTGGGGAAAGTGAGAGAGAATAACCCAGGGAGTTTAGTCAGCCAGTAATCCATGCTTTAGTGTGGTTATCAGAAAAACCAGTGCTCTTCGACCATGATAATACAGTGCATTTGAAGTCTGGATCATGGTGGCAGCCCAGTGCCAGCTCTGCCCTGATCACAGGGCATAGAACATGCTTGGCACCAGGCTTTGAGTCAGGTGGGGGAGTCAGAAACAGCCTGCACCTGGGGCACACGCACTCAGGAAGGCAGCACTAACAGCTGCTGATGTGGAGGAGCCTACGGGTCCAGTGGAAGTTGGTACATCTGCCTCCTAACACATATGTGTGCATGTGCCTAGCATTTTGTCCATAACTGTGGCATAACCTCAAGATGGAAGAGTTCAAGTTTCAGCACTTGTGCAGAGAAATGTAGTGCACAGTTTACATGGAAACAGTTTTCCCTTGGAATTCATGGTAGTAATTAGAGCTGCATGTTTGCTGTTTATTGAAAACAGATCATTCTGGCAGATAGAAGAAGACAATGTTACTTTGGAGAACTTACTTGCATTTGGTTTGAGATAAAACTATCTGTTATAAAAACATAGTATTTGTATACTTTTGTGCCTCTTTAAAGGGCAGAATGTGATTCTGCAAACAATAATATCGATTTACATCTCCACATGGGGCCTCATTATCATTTCTTCAATGGAGCTCTGCACCCAGTAAGCTGTCAGACAGAAAGTGTCTGGGATTTGACCTTTGATAAAAGAAAAACTCTAGGAGATCTCCAGCAGTCAATATTTCAGGTAATTTAGCCTTACTTCTTAATTGAGACAGGTCCATCTTGAACTGGCCTCTCCATTTCATCTTATTAAGGTTATAGCTGCTCTTCAAAGCTGCTTGGGAAAAGTCCTACATCCACCAGTACATAGAGGGTGAGACAAACCATTTGCCCTTACTAGTAAGCCCTTCAGGGAGGCTTTCCACATTTTCCTGCCAGCAGCTTTTCAAATAGAGAATCAGGCCTGGTGGGTTTTAATTTGGGGGCTAGAAAGCAGATAGTTGGCTTTCTCAGGAAATAAATGAAAGAGAATTGTTTTTCAAAGGAATGAAAATATGAAGTTCAGCCTGTGGCTTAAAATTACAAAACACTAAACAAATAAAAGCAGTTTTGTATTCTGTTGTATAAACTAGCATTTATAATAAGATTCTTTACATCTCCAGCCCTTTTTATTTTGTTTCGAAACAGGGTCTCGCTGAGGTGTCTAGACTGGCCTTGGACTTACGATCCTGTTGCCTCGGCCTCTTGAGTAGCTGAGGTTAGAGGCGTATAGCATCACATCCAACTTTCTCTTTTCTGTTTTTTGCCATGTTGGGGATGGAACCCAGGGCTTTGTGTATGCTAGGTAAATAAATCTCTGCCACCAAACTGAACCCCCAGTCCTCTTAATTCTCTTGAGACAGGGTCTCACTAAACTGCTTGAACTGGCTATAAATTCTCAATTCTCCTGCATCCTGTAGCTAGAATTTCAGATGTACACCATCACAAACTGCCTTAGTAAGATTCTTAAGTGAAGGAAAATACCTATTAGTCTCTAAATAAAAAACAGATGTTCTTATATTCATTGTCCAAGTAATTGATCCTGCTGTTTCAATGACAAGGACAATGATGCTCTATTTCACTTATAGTTCTTTTGCATAAATTAATACAGTTTAGTTCTTTAACTTCATGAGATCAAGTTGACTCCATTTTGAGGATGAAATAAATGAAAATTTAAAGATCACAGTGTAGGGCTGGGGATTTAGTTCAGTGACATAGGCACCTGGCTTGCAAGTATGTGGTCATGAGTTCGATCCCCAGTACCGATTAAAAAGAAAAAAAAGTAAAGATCACAGTGTTACCTGTGCTGAACCACATAGTGAGTGGTGGCTCTAAGACCCCCCCCTCCCTGCCCGTCAGTGTTCTGCGTACCTCTCCACTCCACAGCACCTCCTTGGCCGAGGGAAATAGAAAATGTAAGCTTTTTAGGTTTTGTTCCAGAAATAAATGACATTTCTGAAAACTTACATCCCTCACCAAAATTCCTAGATTTTCTTGTACTAAGGTATGCAAACACATTTTTAAAATTTTGATTTGGATGTTAAATACTGAATTGATACCAGTATCTCCAAAATTATATAAAATTTCTGAACTTCTATAGCAAAAATTTATTTCTGAGTCAGTTCTGACAGTAAGACAAGTGAGGTGGGGATCTGAACCTATCTAGGATGACATTTCAAACTGGAAAAACCTTACTCATTTTTATAAGCTTTAGGAACACTCCTGTCTGTGCTTTCAGTGTTTAAAGAGTATATCTCTATGAACGACTGTCTCAAAGTAAGCCACTAGTCAGAGTCTGTGAGACAGGCAATGAATGCCTCAGTCTCTCTCTGCCCCTGTCTCTGACTCTTTCTCTCTGTTTCTCTATCTCTTTGCCTCCTTCCTTTCTTCCCTGTCTGTCAGTATTGTGGATTGAATTTAGGACTTTCAGATTGAGCCACATGCCCTGTCCATTTTTTATTTTTAGACAAGATCTCACTAAGCTATCCAACCTGGGCCTGAACTTGTAATCCTCCTGCCTCAGCCTCCCAGAGTACTGGGGTGACAGGTGTATGTCACCACACCTAGCTTTTTTTTTTTTTTTTTTTTTTTTTTTTTTGAGACAAGGTCTTGCTATGAAGTTCAGGATGGCTTTGAGCTCATTTTGTAGTCTATGCTGGTCTCAAACGCACAGGGGTCCTCCTGCCTCAGCCTCCCGAGTGCCACCACCCCAGCTCACATGTAGTTTTGAATCTCTTTTAAATAAGCAGTTTCTTTTTAAGAGAAATACCTTGTGTTATTAAGTACTAGCTAGCAATACCTTTTCTTCATAAGACTGTTTTGGTGAGATTAGCATAGTCCTCGGGGTCTAGATGTAGAACCTTTGAGAACAGACCCTGCGATCTGTTACACATGTGGCAGTGCTGCTTTTAAATTGGCAGAGGAGTCTTCCTTTAAGGTGTAGCTCCCATTGGCCTGGACTGGAGCTGGTGCTGCATTTCCTGAGCAATGCCCAGAAATAAATAGTGCGGCTCTTAGGAGCAGAAACTCCCCTTCTGGCCTGCTGAGCAGTCTGCTTTCTGCTGACAGTGGCCTTCACCTGATCTAGGTAGAGTTGTTCAGGTGTGCATGTGCAAGTGTTCAGGTGTTCATCCAGCTGTGGGTGGGGTTATCCATCTCTGAATGTCACCAATTTAACACCTAATCTAAGTAGAACTGTTTAGGTATGTATGCCAGAATGTTCAGCAGTAGTGGGTAAGATTACCCATGTTTGTGTATCCCAGTTTAACAAGAATAATGTCTTATTCCTAACTGTTCCGTGTTGGTAGGGATGGGAGTATTCATTTGCTTTCTCCCTGTATAAATTGGCACACTACTATTCTTGTTAAATCTGGAAACATGGTACTCACGTTATTTTTCATTGTTCTTTTTATTGAATTCTCTTCAGCTGTTAGAATTTTGGGAAGGAGACATAGTTCTCAGTGTTGCAAAGCGTGTTCCAGCAGGACTTCATGTTTACCAGGCACTTAATGGTAAGAGGCATATGAATATAGCCACTCGGTTCAAGAATTTTGTTTTGGTGGGGCTCACCATGGTTTTCTCTTTGCCCACGGTTCCCCTATCCACTACTACTTATCTACATAGCTTATCATCATATTGCCAGTTTTTCAAAAAGAAATAATTCATCCTATTTATAATATATCCAGTCTATATAATATGTGAAATCTTCCTATCATGGAAACGTTTTATATTTTCTGATACAAGGGACCTTTGTAAAAAATGTTTTGTGTTGCCACCAACTATTGAGCAGAATGATTTGAAGCCATTTAAATCTTATTTATTCAGCTTGATTTTCTGCCAACTCTCAGCTTCAGATTTGGTAACAAAGCAAAGTACTCTGAGAATGTTAAGTACTACTTTCCTTTAAATTTTAAAATGATAATTGCACTATGTCTTAATTACTTGGTGGTTGACTACAATAAAATGCCCATCACCCACAAATTAAAGGAGGAAATGGTTACTTTATCTCACATTTATGGAGTTTCAGTCCATAGTCTGCTGGGGCGTGACTGGAGAGAAACTGCCCATGTCTGCGCAGGCAGGAAGCAACGATTCTTCCTTCTTTCCCTTTTTATTTCATCCAAACTGTAAACCTGTTGGTTGGTGCCCACACGCAGAAAGGATTTTTGGCTTTAGTAAATCCATTATCCATAGCCAGCACTGTGCTAAACTCATCCATGGACTAATCCAGTGCCACACACCCATGATCTAGTCACTCCCCAAAGCCCCGCCTGTGAGTGCATGCAGCTTCCGGGGAATATCTGGATGTAAGCCATCACATGCTAGTAACATGTATTTTGGGCTTCCCTGGGCCAAATACTGTGATAACTGTCTATGCTAATTTATCTCATTCAATTTTTACAACAGTCTTCTATTTTATAAATAAGGAAACTGAGCTTAGAGGCTCGACACATACAAAGACATGGAACTTGCTAGCGGGGGAAGCTGAACCATGCAATACCTGTCACAATGGATTGTGCTTTGAGTAAGGTTGGCCTTTGTACTGACTTGCCCTTCTATAATGCTCTCAACCTACATGAGCTTTTAAAGTAAAAATAAGAACGATGCTGGACCTTGTGGCACACACCTGTAATCCCAGCACTCAGGAGGCTGAGGCAGGAGGATCATTGTGTGTTTGAGGCCAGCCTGAACTACACAGTAAGACCCTGTCTCAAAAAACAGAAAATAAAATTTAAATAAAAAAAGATGTCAAGGGCCAGTGATTTAGCTCAGCAGCGTAAGTGTCTGCCTAGCAAACAAAAGGTCATGAGTTCGATCCCCAGTACCAAAATAACTTTTTTTTTAAAAGATGTGAAATAACAATAGAATAAAAACTGAGTATCCCAGCTCCTTATGTAGCTGAAGTGTTTCTGGTGGTCATGACGAATGGTCTGATAATTTCACCTTCCTAGGAAATGAACTAACATTATATGAAGTTGGAATTGCTGATGGGGAAGACATCTTTGTGTGGAACGGAGTGGAGGTAAAAAAAAAAAAATTACCAAAGAAATATTCATAATTATTTTTTAAGTTATTGTAATGAAGTTTTATACATGTTAGCCCAGCGAGTGGTAGTTGTAGTTAAAGAGATACCTGGCTGCACTTCTGGTGTAAATCACAGCACAGGGCTGCGATGAGCACTCAAGGCTGCAGCTGCCAGCTGTGCCGAGATGGGCAGTGATGGCACTTGGAGGGGCAGAGTGAGCCTCGGTCTCGGGATGAAGAACAGCTTCCTGGCCCTCCATGGCTATCCCAGGTTTTTCTGTGTTTCTAAAGCCTTGTTACCACAGGTGATTCATGTACCTCCACCTCCCATCCAGATTTCTCTTCTGAGAAAGAAAAGGAAAACTCAAAAGAAATCTAAAGTTTTTCCTCTGATACTTAAAAGACACTCAAGAAATTCTTACTTTATTGGAAGAAATGAAGGTTGCTTTACTGAAACTGCCTTAGGCTGTGCTGTGATGTTAGTTTGGCAAATGCCAACTACACTGGTGGTTGTCTGGATATTGTTGCAGGTTGGTGGTGTCCAGATTCCAACTGGTGTGGACTGTGAGCCCCTGCTGCTGCATATCCTTCACCTGGAGACAAGCGGTGACGGCCAAAGTTGTGAGCAGTTGGTAGAGGCTCCGCACATCTTTCCAGCCAATGCAGCAGTGAGCACCGTGCTCACAGCACTGGCCCTGCCCGAGGGTGTCATCTTCACACACAGTGCCTGGTCTGCAGGGGAAGCGAGCTGGACCCCTATTTCTCAGGAAGACATGCAGAGAACATTCAGAGAACATGGGCTCAAGGACGGAAGCTCAGTCTTAGTTCAGGATTCTTACAGCGGTGATAACAGGTAACTCACTAAATGAGAAAAGGGAAGAATTTTTTTGAAGTTATTTCAGTTACAGTGCCATGCAGGACTTAGTGGCAGACCTACAGCACACGTGTTGCAGCAGGCTGTTTGCGTCATTGAAAGTTCTTAAAGGTTCGCCATCACTGATCTCAGAGAACTCTAAAGCTTTATTTCAATAGTAAGAGTTAAGTGTTTATTTCTAGATATTATATTCTAAATGCTGTTTTAGGCTATGCAATGTAGAGAAAAAAATGTTAAGTGATTTTTTTTTTTTTAGTAAGTATAGTATAAAAATAATATAGGTATCCCTGGTCTTATAAACAAAATACAGTCTTAAAGTACTGGTGGTTACAAAGCAAAATCCCATCAGATGAATTCTGATTAGAACCAATTATAAAACTGAAGGTATATTTAAAGAAAATTTCTGGAATTCCTCATGAAGAAGTTATTAAGATCATGGTTAAGTTGTTGTTACTATTTTATTAAAGGAGACCCGTAAAGCAATACAGTTTTTCCTTATAATCCCTCAAATGGCTCCTGAGAGCCGATTTGGGCAGCTAGTTAGGTAATTACCCCTCATCTTGCAGTCACATTAAAGCTCCTAGACATGCTGTCCCTTCCCACTAATGAGACCCATGTCTGTGATAGTGTGTTCAGTGTATCATACACCATGACCCCCTTCCTACACTGGCATAGAGAATATCACACACCTCCTTTGCCAGGTCTGCAATTGACCTCAGGTTGTCAGCACTCTGTGTAATAATTCTTGTTCTGGGACACAGAAGCACAGCCGTTGGGGGCTGAGTTTCTTACTGCTACTCTTTTGGACATGTTTTGCAGACATGTGTTTCCCCTTGTTCATAAATGAAGTTTATTTCCATATTCCTTTGTGAGAGGTAATCTGCATTTGTGAAGACAGAAGAGATGCTGAACAGTGTTAGCATCCAGTGGCTTTCCTTTTTCTTTTTGGGGGTAGGGTACTGGCAGTTGAACTCATAGCCTTTTGCTTGCCAGGCAGGCTCTTATGCCAGTGAGCTACATCCCCATCCCTTTCCTTTTCTTCTAAATGGAATTATTGTTTTGATCTTTCTTAGTATATGATAGCGATTCCTTTGTGGGTGAACCATTGCATCCAGCTTCCCCACGTTCCTCATGTGCATAGACTCTGAGCCTCGCCTCATGCTATGTAGTAATCTCTTGACCCTGACTGTACTGCCAGTGAGGCAGATGAGGTGGTAGAAAAGAACGAGGAATCAGTTGCCTTGGGAACCAGTCGCCTGGGCTTTCTCACAGCTTTGCCACTTGGTAACAGCATGGTCTTGGGCAGTTATTTCATCTCTGTTATTTCTGCAAAATGGGGGTAGTAACTAGAGCCAACTTCATAGAGCTGCAGAGATTGAAAGAATAACATGCTTACTGAAGGGCTGCATGCAGCACCTGCTCGGTTTTCATTGAACTTCGTCATCATCCAGTTTCCACTGCTCTGCACTTCTATGCTTAAAACTTTATTATGTGTAAGATTGTTTCTTGAAGTGGGCTCCCAGCATGGAGAAACTGGCAGAGCAGAGTTAGTCTCAGGGCTCTGATAGTCACTCCCAGAAAGCATTTCTTTTAGCTTAGTCAGAGCCACTGTGTGAATTAGGAAGCCACCCAGGCCACAGGGCTTCTCTGTCTGTGGGAAGATTTTGTTCAGAAAGATACTCTACTGCTTCAAGAAGATATAAAATCCTAAATAAACCAGTATCAATCAGGGAAATTGAAGATGTAATTAAAAACTACCAACAAAGAAAAGCCCAGGCTCTGACGAATTCACTGCTGAATTCTGTAAGAGCATATACTAACTAGCTCATAGAACATGCTTAAGTAAGGATTTGAAAATATCCCATGCTTATTATCAGACCATAGTGCAGTGAAATTGAAAATCAGTGGCAGGGGCTGGGGATTTAGCTCAGCGGCATAAGCGCCTGCCTTGCAAGCAGGTAGTCGTGAGTTCGATCCCTGGTACCGATAAAAATGAAAAAGACAAAAAAAAAAAAAAGAAAATCAGTGGCACAAGAAACCACAAAAACTTTATAAACACATGGAAATAACACTCTCCTGAACTATCAGTGGGTCATAGATGAAATTAAAGAAGAAATTAGTTTCTACAATTAAATGACACAGTATAACATACTGAAATTTATGGGACACAATGAAAGCAGTCCTACAAGGGAAATTTATAGCAATGAGTACCCATATCAGGAAAACAGAGCAAGCATAAATAAACAGCAGAAACTAGCACATTGGAGACTCAGAAAACAGCAAAAAGAATCAATGAACAGTTAGTTCATTGAAAAACAATAAAATTGACAAACCCTTAGCCAAGCTCATCAAACAGTGGAAAGAAAAGACTCAACTCCATGTAATTAGGAATGAAAAGTATGAAATCGCAATGGAGTCCACAGGTATAAGATCATCTATACCTACTTTGAGAACCTGTATTCTAGTAAGATGGAAAATGCAGAAGAAATGGACAGATACCTAGATGTATATGAGTTACCAAAGCTGAATCAAGAAAATATTGCCAACTAACATAAAACTTATTAACAGAAATACAAGTCTGTGATACAAATGGTGCATATGACACCCCTTAGATGTGCACTTAGGTGCAGTCCGTAGAACTATACATGACTGTTCTGTTGCGAAACTAAATCCAAATTCTGAGACGTGGGCCCTGGTACTTCTTTATGTTTTGGGGTTTTGTTTGTTTTGTTTTATTTTTTTGAGATGTATTGCTGTATAGTACAGGCTGGCCTTGAACTTGAGGCAAGCTTCCTGTGTCAGTCTCCCACATTCTGGGATTATAGGTATGTGCAACACAGGCATGAGGCACTGGTACTCTCTTTAAAGCTCCCGTGGGGATTTTCATGTATACATGGCAGGCAACAGCTGGTTGCTTAGGTGTATTACTTCTACGTGAAAACCATGGCAACAGATTATTACACAAGTCAAAACCTTTTGGTGTCCTGAATATAAATTCTGGATGACTACCTGACCTTCCCCTTGAAAGACAGCTAACTTTCACAGAGATAGTGCCGCAGAATATAGCCACCTTCCATGAGTTACTTTGGAGTTTTGGAAATGGAACCTAAGGAAAAGGATTGATGTCTCATCCACAAAGGCACAAGGCCTTGTAAAGACACTTTTTGTTTTGTTTTAGTTGTTTGTAATCCTGGGGATCAAACCCAGAGCCTCATACTTATTAGGCACCCTCTCTAAACAAGCATTTTTAAAATGTTTTTCTACAGTGTGTTGCCCCAAGGAGGGAATTGGATCCCTGGTATGAGGGAGGTGGACTGGCTAGAAGTTAAAAATTTATGCCAGTTAGAATCCGGAGAGAAGCGAGTTAAGATAGTAGCAGCTGCTAACACAGTAAGTAGACCTTATTGTTCAGGTGATGTTCCTTAGGTAACACAGTTTTCATGTAGAAACCATCACGTTAGTCTTTGGGAACATTTGTCTCAACAGACTTTGGAATCTTAGGAAAATCAACTTTTAACATTTGGTTATTGTTTTTTATCAGTCTTTGACCTACTTCTAAAACCTTTTTCCCACTTTCTTTTTTTTAACCTTCAAAACCTAGGTGAGAATGTGGCAGTTAACTGTTCATGGACTTCTCTGGCTTTGATAAATGTGAAATGTTATTTTCATGGTCTTGTTTATATTATTTTTAAATGGGTGCTCTGTCTATAGCCAACTGCTTTTAAAGAAATTCCTCTAGTTTTCCATTTCAAGTCTGTGATACTGATTTCCTTAAACAGTATCTCAGGAAACATCTTTTTATACTTAAATGTTCCCAATATATTAGGTTGTCTTTGGTTTTTTTCCCCTCTAACAAGTGACAAGAAATTTACTAGAGTGTTGGTTTCTTTTAAATCAACTTTATGCTTTGTTGAGGTGGGTTTGTGTTTGCTGGGACCGGTTGAGCTTGGGAGATTGTCCTGACCCTGGACGCTAAGCCAGGAAGGCTGCAGAAGTCCCTTACTAACTGCAGCCCACTTTCCTTGGCATCATGCGGGTACTGGCAGGAGGTCACAGTAGATGGTCTCTGACAGTGTTAGCCCTAAATTTCCAACATTATATTTATGCCCTAGAAGAACTTAGCCTAAGTTCAGCTTTAAAAAGAAGGCAATTTTTAAAAAAAGAACAATAAATACTTAAAATAGAAACTGTAGAGGTCTTGAATTGGTATCATGGATTTTTGTATTACTTATTCTTTTTGGCCCCAAATCTGTTGCCCCTAACACAGAAGAATGTTATTGCTTGTAGTTACTTTATTTAGGTTTCCTTTTCATCCTAGTTAACATCAATTTGATAAAAACTTAATTGTTAAAATCTATTCTCAGCTTTTGCTTTTGCAATCTCAGGGGTGGGAGGGGCTTTTTCAAGTAGGCAAAAACCAGTGTCAGGTAATTAATATCTCAATATGTGCACACCCTAACAGTCTTCATTTTCATCTCTTCCCATTCAACTTACACACAGTCATTAGTTTATTTCTCTATTTTAGGTGGTGTTTGATATTCGAATTAAAGCCATAAAGGAATTAAAATTAATGACGGAACTAGGTAATCATTTACATTTGCTTTTTGGTTTGGGGCTTAATTTAGTCTTGGTTTTTCACTGAAAGAAATGTAGGAAACTACAGAATAATTCAGGGAAATCTCATCTACCTACCACCCAAAATGGACAGATGTTGACACTGTGTCCTGTTTGTTTTTTGTTGAAACATTATAAATGTTTTCTTACTTAGACCTGTCCTCTGCCATGCAACCACTTTGTGACTTCGGGGGTATGTCTAGTCCACTTTGATAGGTCTGACTCTTGTTTGCTCAAGTTCCCACAGCAGCTGCGTAAGCTGAGAACCATCATGGTCCATTCCCACATCCTGTAGTTTCCCTCCCTCCAGGACATGGCACATCTGCCTACCTGCTAGGTCACATAGCGCGCCCACAACCATGAGAACCACATACTCAACTGTTATCACTGCTACAGTCTCACACTTCCCCTCGCCTCAATTTACCTCAGCCCATCCTGCTAACCCCCTAACTCTGTCCATGCAAACCACCCCCAGTAAAATTGACTCAGACTCCCTCTGGAGTTACCCCAGGAGATCCCTCCCAGAACTCTAAATTCAGACTGACTGTGTTCTTTTACTGGGTCATAACCATTTACCTAACTTACGTGCTCAGGTTATACTGTATATTATATTTCCATGCAACCATATGTGTATATATATTTTTATATTTATATAAATTCTATTATACTAACATTCTACAAATTCACTATTTACCCAATGTTAGTTTTCTTTAGCAGCTTTATTAAGATATAACTTGTATTACATAAACTTCACTTGTGTATAATTCAGTGACTATCAATAAATATATACAGTTGTACATTAGTACCACGATCTAGCTTTAGGACATTTTTATCACCCCTAAAAGATCGCTGGTACCCACTGGTATTCTACGCACCTGGCACTGATTAATCTCCTAACTCTATGACTTGATTTTCTGAACATTTATATACAAGTAACAATGCAATATGTAGTGTTTTGTGCCTGGCTTCTTTTATGTTATTTACATACCATTTTTGAAGTTTACGATTTAGCATTTATCAAAGTTATTATATTTTATTACTAACCTAGTATTCAATTGTCTGGATATATCATGTATCATTTTGGTTTTTTACTAGTTGATAGACATTGTTTCTGCTTTTGAAGTAGTGCTGCTATAAATATTTGCATGTAATTCTTTGTGTAGATATGTTTTCAGTTTTTTTGGGTACATATATACAGGACTGGAATTACTTGGTCATAAAGGCAAATTTGGATTTCACTTTATAAGAAACTCTTACATTCCAGAGCAGCTGAACCATTATTATTCCTACTAGCAATGTGTTAGGGTTATAGTTTCTCCACATCCTTACCAATATCTTTATTGTCTTTTTATTATAACCATTCTGTGAATATGAATTGGTATCTCTTGTTTACATTTAGCAAAAACTCAAAGTCAATATGCAGAAATCTACTGTATTTCCATCTACCAGCAAGAAAAAAATGGACATCAAAATTAAAACATTTATGATACCATGAAATATTAGGGATCTATTTAACAAAATGTGTGCAAGATGTGTACTCTGAATACTGGAAAACAGGCATGAAAGCCAAAGACCTGACTGAATACAACAGGGTACCATGTTCATGAGTCAGAAGATGCAATATGTTAGGAGCACAGTTCTCCCTACCTTGATTTATAGATGTAATGCACTCTTCTGGAAAATCCTACCTATTTTGTTTGCTTTAGAAGTTGATAAGCTGATTCTAAAATGTATGTAGTAATGTAAAGAACCTAAAGTAGCCATAACAATTTTGAGGAAATGAGCAAAAGTTAGAGAATTACACTACCTGATATCAAGACTTACTCTAGACACTGTATTTTAGTGTATAGATAGACATAGAAAGTATAAGTCAGAGAACTGTGACCTACAACTTGTTTTTGTGCAACCAGTGGACAAAGAATAATTTTAAAGTCCAGTTTAAAGGAAAAGAGTGTCAGGGATGTAACTGACCGAGGTGCTTATTGAGTATGTGTGAGGCCCTGAGTTCAGTTGCCGCTCACAGAAATTAAAAAGTAAAGAAGAATGTACTGCAGAGGTCATAAATGGCTAGCGAAGCCTGAAATATGGAGAGCAGAACTAAACAGAACATAGAGACAGGTACAAAATAGTTGACTTTCAACAAAGGTGCCAAGGTCTTTTCATAGGAAAACTGTATTTTCAACAAATGGAAGTGGACCATTTGGATATTCATATATGCCAAAATGAACCTCTAGCTTTACCTCACATGATGTAAAGTAGTAGCCTAAAATGGATATAGAATTAAATGTTAAATCCTAAAACTATAAAATTTCTGAAAGAAAATGTTCATAAATTTACTATATAGAATTTTTTAAAAGTGGACTCAATCCAAACTATAAGAGAATCTAATAATTAGACCACATCAGAATTTAAAATTTATACTACAAACTAAGGGGAAAATATTTGAAATATTTATAAAACATATTTGACAATGGATTTGCATACAGAATTTTTTTCCTTTTTTTTTTTTTCGTACCAGGGATCAAACTCTCGAACTCATGACCTCACAACAGAATATATTTTTTAAAACACAAGGGTCAGGGGTAGAGCACACACCTAGCATGTATGAAAAACCTGGGTTCAATCCCAAGCTCCATAACTAAGGAAGAAATTTGAAGGAGAAAATTGAACCAGCATTCACAAAAGAAGATCTGCTTTTGAATGACCAATAAATAAAAGATACTCAGTGCCAGATTACAGTTATCATGACACACCACTGACATGCAAAACATGTGTTAGCAGAAGTGTGGAACACCTTGTTCCCATGTATTGCTGGTGGGAGTATGAAATTGGTGGGAGTGTGAAATTGTGAGTCCCTTTGGAAAAGTCAGCTTGTCTTGTTTTTTTAATTTTGTTTTTTGGTACCAAGAATCGAATTGAGGACCCTGTGCTTGCCAGACAGGTACTGTGCCACTGAGCTATATTCCTGACCCTAGCTTGTTTTTTTATAATCCTAAATGTTCACTTGCCTATTCTACTCCAAGGTGTCTATTGAAGAAAAGTTTAAAAAAAAAAAAAAAAAGAAGAAAAAGGAAAAAAGAAAGAAAAGCTAAAACATGCTCACTTACAAAGGTGTAAGTGATCCTAACCAAGACCATTAACAACTCGCATGTCCACAAGTAGATAAATGGATGGACAAATTGTGGGCTGCTGTTCACCTCTGAAAAAAAGTTCTGCCACACATAAAACATATGTGAATCTCAAAGTCATTATGCCAAGGGAAAGAGTGGACACAAGTACACGCTGTGTGATTCCATATACATAGTTTTAGAAATACAATCTAAGCTGTAGTCACAAAGACAGCTCAGCACCAAGGGCAGAGAGAAATTGGCTGCAGAGTGAGGTGTGACGCAGACCCGTGATAATGGCCCTCACCTTTGTCCACTCTGACATCCCTCCAAACCATTGTTCACATACAGTAAGAAATCTTCTCAAACATACATGAGCTGTGCCATGTCACACGTGTGCTCGGGCTCTTCCGTGCTTTCCACGGTGTACGGGCTCAGTGCTCAGCCTAGCGAACAGTGCTTTTTCTCCTGTGCTCCTCCTTCCATGCCCGCTCACAGTCTCAGCTGCTGTTTCACATCCAGCATCTGTACTTTCCTTTCAGAGTCCTTTCTGCTCGAGGTGCTCTTTTTTTATTCATGCCATTGTAATCTGCCGCTCCCCTTGGATGAACCCTGGGAAGGGACACCCTGAGGCTGGTGTGCTCACCACTATCCCACAGCTTCTAATACCTTGCCTGGCATACAAGACACACAGGAAGCGTTTGTTGAAGTCAACTGATATTTTTTTTTTAAAAAACATTTTGTCTTTTTAACATGAGATCTTGCTGTGTTACCTAGACTTACCTTGAACTCCTCCCAAGTTGATCAGCCCAGCTGAAAGGAAAAGATTTTTAGAACACAGTATTTACAATGCACTTTTCTAACTTGGAGGATTATTTCAGTTCACAAGAAATTTTGTATTGGAATTACATGCTAGCTTCACATTGCTGTGGTACAGTATAACCCAAGAGTCAGAGATCATTGTGGTCTGATAACATTGAGACTTTCTAGCCATTCCCGCCCATTCAGAAGGCTCAACACCCCCATCCCTCTTGCCCCTACCCATTCTTCTGCTTTTTAAGAATTCTGTTTGGGCTAAACGTCTGATGTGCTTTTTCTCCTGGAAGTAGGAATCTACATCTTCAAAAATAGCATGTACTGGCCTTAATCCATTTTACTGAGTATGAAATTACTCAACATATTTAAAATGTAGGTAGGCTGCTTTGCAGAGTTATGCTATGAATTTCACTTACTATGGTTTAGTCCCCTAGCAGGGTGGTATAAATTTCAGCAACCATGCAGTATGAATAGTGGGTGACACTGTCATCAAAGGGTCACTGCACAAAGCACAGGCGTGGATCTCAGCCAGTGCAGCCATACTGCTCCCTGCAAGTCTACTGTCAGTGGGTCCCTGCCTTGTGTTAGACACTTGAGCACAGATAGCAAAGCGTGTGGCTGCATTACCTCCTTTCGTCTCAGGGAGAACCACACCTGAGACTGTGTGTGAGTGGATAACAGAAGGAGGGACACGACCAACAAAGAAGAAAGCACTCAAAGAAATAAAAGTATTGAGCTGTCAATAAAGCAGCTGCCCCTGAGAACATGGACCCTGATATACTGCTGAGGAACCACAAAGGCAAATCTGGCAACCTCAGCGAGGAAGGTGGTTGCGTTAAGGATGGAGTGAGCCTAGCAGAAGCCTTTGTACTACATGAGCTCAAAAATAGTTCATGACATTGAAAGCACAAAACCAAAAATGCTGGAACTCGGAGTGACCATTTGCTAGAGGGTAGGAAAGATGCCCAGTCTGTAGCGTCAGCTGTTCAGTGAGAAGTAGCCAGCCCTGCTTACACCACTCTTGAGTTGTGTTTTACAAAGGCTCCAGTATTTCAGTGCTCAGTTTCTGGTGTTTTAAATACATGTGCAAATAATGGTTTTACTGGTTTTTTCTTTCCCCAGTGCGTGTTTAAGCAACAGTGTTAAAACAAAATGCTTAGAAATAAAAACCAATTGTGATTTCTCCATGAAAGTTAAGATTGCTTTTCATAGTTTCAGCTCATGTTTTTACAGTTCTGCACTGCCGTGCAGAGTGAGGACACCCCAGATTTGAAAGGTTTTGTTTCAGTTCTTCGAGGATATTTTTTGGGTTGGTTAGTTGGTTTGTTCATTTGTTTTTCTTGATTTGGGTTTTAAGGCCTATCGTAAATTCCTGCTGATGAACACAGTAGCCTACCTCTTGTTAGCTTTGTTTTTTATCCTAATCAGCTGCTTTTTACTTACAGTTGAGAACAGCTGTTTGAGACCTATTGATAGACATGGGAAGCTTCTTCATCCAGGTCAGTCTTCTGGTAGTTTTTAAAAGCTGATGTACACTTAAACCATCCGTCTTTTTAAACTTTTTTTTTTAACCTTAAATAAGGTCTTCTAGTACCTAATATTCTTATATCACCTTTTACAATCTAATTTACAAGACTTATTTTAACCCAGGTATTTTAGTCACCGTCACATTTTAAACATGAAACAAAAGTATGTTGGAACATTGTTTAGCTTTTAATCCATGTAAACAACAGCTCTTTGGCATTTTTACTAAGTATGAATCTTGACCATTTAGAGTTGCCTCTTAGTTTTTAATATGGTACAGACAACAAGAATATTGTGGAGTGTAGAAAGTGAAAATTAAGTGTAATCATAGCACATGTAACCCTTTTGCATGAAATACAACACACTTTTTTCTTTGCTTTCTTTTTCTGAGGTGAAAGGAAAATACATTAGCTATTAGGGCAGTGCTGGGGATCAGCCCCAGGGCTTTGCGCCACACTAAGCACCTACGCTATCTTTGAGCTAAACCTTAGCCTTTCCTTCTTGATCTTGATTTTCAAAGACCGACTTCAGCGGGTTATTTTGCTGGGACAGGTGAGAATTCCTTGCATTTATTACATTATCAAAATGTTTCATAGTGCCAGACAGTTCCACTTTGAAGGAAGCAGAAGTGAAGCTGGGAAGCTCCCTGGGGCTGTGTCTTGGGAAAGCACCGACCTCGTCTCAGGTACAGCAGGGCGCCTTGGTAACAGTCCCCCTCTGTGACCCATGTCTCAGCTCTTGAAGTAGTACATGTGCTATGCCAGTAATGCTGTTTTTTTCTGAAAGTGGTTTTTTCCTTAAAATTACCTACTAGGAATACATCCACAGAGTTCCCTGTGTTTAAAAGTGCTATGCAGATGCGTACTTATCAGGTGCTTTTTCCATTAAAAATATTCAGGGGTGTCTGCTAGTCACTTCCCTTGTCACCGATACAGGAAAACAACTTCAGCTAAAAGGAGATGGGGTTTGTTTTGGCTCACATTGCAGTCCATGGTCAGCCAGCCAAGGCAGGATACGAGGAGGGTCTAAGAAAGGAGACCCGGCCTCCTGGGTAATGCCCAGCATAACCTGTTTCTTGCAGCCAGGCCTCACCGTCTAACAGCAGGTCTGCTGTAACATCCCTATGATCCAGTCACCTTTCAAAGGTGCTGCCTAGGATCACATGAGACGTTAGGAGGACATCTAAACATAATCCATAGAAAAGGAGATGTTTGAACTGTGCGTAGTAGAACACACCTGTAATCTCAGCGCTTGGGAGGCTGAGGCAGGATGATTGCCATTGTTTGAGGCCAGACTGGGCTACGTAGCAAGACCCTGTCTCAAAAAACAACAGAACAAAAAAGGGTGAGGCATCTTTAAGGTTAGTGACCACCAATTTCAACCACTGCCTTTCACAAGTTCTGAGGTGAACCTTTTCCCTCACATTTAATGTCTGTGCATTAGGATGCATCTTACAGTCAGCAGCATCCTGCAGTTGTTGCCGGTGTTGCTAGTTGGCTTGATTCTGTTTCAGTGGTGAGAAAAGGTTGAGTCTAACAATCAGTGACATGTTAGATTTAATGAAGTACATTATATTGATTTTTGACATTAAATTATTTTCTGCAATAATCATAGTTTTATAGCAGCCTCCCTTCCCCCTTGTCTTTGTCAGGATTCATTCCCGTATAAATTCAATCAGGTGGTGCTTGCCAGCAGTTCTGCCCAGTACTTTGATTACAGCCAGAGTCAGAATGGTACCCTTGTCAGTAACACCCTGCACCAAGTGATCTGGACTCACGCAAGCCCCTGGCTGTGCCTCATCAGCCTCTCTGCAACTGCTGCTTCCATCTGCTGCCTCAGAGCCAGCCAGTAGCAGAGTGTGACAGACTTGTGGGAGGACAGACACGAATAGGCTGGGTTAGAAAGTGCACACAGTGCTCTAAGGGTCTGAACTGACAAGGGAACAGGTTTCTATTTTCCTTTGGGACCTGAGAACTACATAATGTGGGCGCCCTAAACAGAAAATAAAATCATATCCAAGTGATTCTGAAAAAAGCCAATGCTTACTGTGTGTGGTAATTGTGAGGTGCTTTGCAGAGTGACTGAGACAGGGGTGGAGCTCACAGGAGAAGCAGCAGCACCTGTGATGCCAGTAGTTTACTAAGAGTTGAAATTTTGATGAGAGACCATTTAAATTCCTAGCTAGATGAGATTGTTTAAATTATAACACTAAATTACTCAACATAGTCTTCTTTTTATGTAATTGAAGGGTTTTGTTTGGTTTGTTTTTGTGGTGCTGGAGTTTAACCCAGGGCCTCACACATGCTGGGTGAGCACTTACTGCTGAGTTACACTCCCAGCCCCAAGGTTTTTATCAATGATTCCTAGGTCCTTGGCTTTACTTCTTTTGGAAGTAAAGAATAGAATTTTACAGCTGAGGTTAAATGGCATTTTTCATCTTACTCTCAGCTGTTCCTGTTTTTCGCTCTGGGGAGTGACATTCAACCTGGAACAGAAATGGAGGTCATAGTAGAAGAAACACTCTCTGTGAGAGACGTAAGTAATTTTCCATTTTGGTTTACAAGTCTGCGAGTATTTGATACTGGGAGCAGTGGTAACCTATGCTAGCATTTGAAGTCGTAGACAACGGTTTACTAAAACATACTTCCAAGAATTGCGTATACTTAAGTAATTTAAGGAGAGGGTTATTTCATGGGGCTTGAAAATTGGCAAACCAACTGGCAGTGTTAAATAAAATTATGATTATTGAGTTTTTTCCTGTTGGAATTATCAGTAGCACTTATTTATTATAGAAATTTGGGGAAGGAAGAAATGGATTAAAAGAAAAGATTTAAACTCTTCAGTATTCCACCAGTATTAACATTTTGGCGTGTTTCCTTCTGGTGTTTGTACTTTGTATGCACCCATCATCACGCCCAGAGAGGCATAACTGTGCATATTCATGCATGTGATAAAATACGGTCTTGATCTTTTTAAGTAGGACTTTCAGCACTGGAAAAGAGAGAGACAAGGATAAAATCAATGAAGTTAAATAAAAACCTGTACTCCTGAATTTGAATTAGAAGAGTCTCAAAGAACTTCATCTTTTTCCTCTTAAAAAAAATTTTTTTTCTGGCTCTATTCCCTGACATGGCTTAGAAAAAGCGATTAGCTCCATAGCAATAAGCCACCCTAGCACCAAGAGTATGGTTTCTAAGGACTATTTTCTGCTAAAGAAACCAAGCATCCTAGAACAAAGGCTGTTTCTATATCTAGGTCAGGAAATGGGTAAGAGGAGCCTAAGATATGTTGTCACAGAAAGCAGTAGAGCTAATAAAGACTGTTAGAATCCTCAGATGCAGAGGAACCTGCTGGTCAAAGATGAAAGAGTTTCAGCATCAGGGAGAACACAAATTTAAATCCTATAATAAATAAAATTATGACAACTTTGGAGTATGCAGGCATGGATTAAAAGGAAAACCCCATTCCATAGCCTCATACATTTATAATACAAACATAAAATGTGGAAGTTCCTAATAACCCCCCCCCAGAAATGTTCATTAATTATTTATAGTGGATGCTAGAGTACCATGAAAGGAAAAGAAGGATCAGGCATTGTCTTGTTTGCCTTGGTTAACTATACCTCTGGGTAGTTAACTAGATAATGAGTTCTCCCTGTATAGATATATTCCAAGAGTTTTTCAGAGAAAGGAATAAAGGAAGAAGTAATTTTAGGATATCACAAGTTTTCAACTTCTGAAAAATGGATCAAGACAATAATCCCAAAGACTGCTAACAACTCAGAAAAGAACAGTCCTGAGATGTAGAGGTTCTAGAAAATCCTTTGTACAAAAGCAAAACAAACAAAAACTGGTCTGACTACCAATAATTAAGAGAGATGGGGCTGGGGCTGGGGATTTAGCTCAGTGGCATAAGCGCCTGCCTTGCAAGCAGGCAGTCGTGAGTTTGATCCCCGGTACCGATAAAAAGGAAAAAGACAAAAAAAAAAAAAAAAAAAAAAATGAGAGATGGGGCTGGGGATCTGGCTCAGTGGCATAAGCGCCTGCCTTGCAAGCAGTCGTGAGTTCGATCCCCGGTACCGATAAAAAGGAAAAAGGCAAAAAAAAATTAATAATAATAATAATTAAGAGAGACAGCAATAAAGAAGGTATTTACCACAGATCTGCAGCCACAAAATCCAAATTGGAAACTGTTCTTCAACAAATCATTACAGGATTTGTGCAGGGCCAGGGGGCCAGCCCAGCGGTTAAAAGGGGTTTGTGGGAAACAGCCCAGTGCCATGTGTGGCCTTTATGTGAACCGGGAGTCAAGCTTAAAGAACTTCAAGTGAAGTGAAAGTAGAGTATTAAAGCACTGTGTATTTCTTGATCTTAAGGAATTTTTTTTTCAGATGTCATTTTCTGTTATATTGTTAAAAGTATCCTTACCTTTGGATTCACACACGGGGGAGGGGGGAAGTATCCTTACCTTTTAGAGGTGCATATTAAATACTTACAAGCGAAATGACATACTGTCTGCCATTTGCTTAACAACCAGGCAAGCACAGGGTGGTGGATGGTGTGGGCAAACCAGACTGGCAGTTCTCAAGACTGGTGGTGACCACAAAAGGGTCATTTGATTAATTTTCAAGAAAAGCTGATCTCCGTTTATAGGAGTCAGAGTTTATTTGTATCTGTGAAATCATTCGCGTTCATCATATCAGATTAAGTGTACACTGCTATCCTCATGGAAGGGAGTTGTAGTTTGGGCTGGAAGACAGTGAATGAAACGTGGGGCTAAGTCCCATTGCCAACACCAGAAACTTTTCCCCATGCAGACTGGGCCCTTGGCTCCACGGAAGGAAGACTGACTTGTGGATCATCTCAGTTCTATATCTTTGTCTGTTCAAGAATGAGCCAGTGTAATCAGGCTCACTGAGTTCCAGGATTCAAAATGGGTGTTTCTCTTTGTACTGTAACTCAGAAACAGAAAACTGACATTGAACATAATTTTGTTTTTCAGTGTTTAAAGATAATGCTGGAGAAATCTGGTCTGCCAGGTAAGTTATTTACATGATGATATACAGTATAATCTTATCCATATCCTTTACTTAAAACAATTGTCTATAAACCTCCATGAAAATTTTCCAAACATTCTTATTCCCTGAAGTTTGGGGAGGAAATTTTTACAAACTAAAGAGGGAAAGAAGTTTAATTTCTATATGTACATAATGAATTTTCCTGGTTCTTTTTTGTAAACTAAAAGAAAACTGGTTCTAAGTAAAGATAACTTAGGATTTAGGAAAGATATAAAAATAAAGCGAAGATTCACTACCTGAAATTATCCAAGTCTCTCACTTTTTTTTTTAAACCTCATTGATTGAGAATTTCAGTGCTTCCTGTCCCATGTTAATATTTTCGTGGTGTAGACTAGGGAATGTACTGTAAGTGGGGAAAAAAAAAAAAACAGAATATCTTTTTTTTAAAAAAGTAAATAAAAATAAAAACAGTAATGCAGAATTTCAAAACAGGAGAGTAAGAAATAAACAATGGTTAATATGTTGCATATTGTTGTCTTCAAAGTAGTTGCTCACATAACCCAGAATCTTTTAAAAGAGCTTTCCATGCGAGCTGGATGAGATGCCCTAGCTCTTTCATTAGAGCACTGACTGTCCTCAGACTTGACTAACATGGCGGCCCCCAGCTTTGTTACCTGGAAAGGGTGTCACCAAGCTCTGGGCATGCGGCACTCTTGTAGGAGTGATCACACAAGGTCCCAGTGAAATCGCAGTCACAGCCCTGCCATGTGGGCACTTTGCGTGCTCCTCTCATGCAGGTGAGGAAAGCAGGGCTGAGAGCAGATGGGCGGCTCTCACAGAATTGTGAATGCCAGGACTGAGCTTCCTGAGCCCCCGTGGTTCTGTGCAGCCATGCTGCTCGCTGCTACCTTACTGCTGAGAGTTTTAAGGGATTTTCAGATCGATATAAATCTTACTGTGTTGGGGCTGGGGATTTAGCTCAGCGGCATAAGCGCCTGCCTTGCAAGCAGGCAGTCATGAGTTCGATCCCCGGTACCGGTAAAAACGAAAAAGACAAAAAAAAAAAAAAAATAAATAAATAAATAAATAAATAAATCTTACTGTGTTTAAAAGCAGAACATTAGATGAAAAAAATCTGGGGACTCAAAGACCAGCCAGTGGAGATGAAAAAGAGGTCTGTGTTCCTTCCTCTGCCTGTAAGGTGTTTTTGCTAGCAGGGACTGGGGATCGCATGCTTATTAACAAACATTATTGTTTTTTTTTTAATGTTTAAGTTTTCCTCCATTCAACCTTTCCCTCACTCAAAAAAAAAAAAGTCTCATTTCACCAGTGTATCAGGTATACTGAGAAACAGAAATTTGATTAAAGTCTTTTTGACATTTATAAGTACTCACATATATCAGTTTCATTAAAATGCTCTTGAGGCTGGTGAAGAGTGCTTGTCTAGCATGCATGATTCCCAGGTTCAATCCCCAGTACCACGCTTCCAAAAAATACTTGTTAGGGAGTCCTGTTACTACGTTTTTGTTAGTATAACTGCAAGATAAATAGGCATTATTTGCTTGCACACATTAACAGTTTCTCAACAATGCTTTCAGCTAAAATAAACTCAACTTTATAATGCTTTCAGATGGGATTCTGTACTTGTGTGTACATGTGTACTGATGTATGTGAGCTATATATACATGTGCATTGTAAGTAATAAAGATACATAGTACATATTGTATAATAGTAGTGAATGATAAATGTACCTGTGTGTTTTTGTTCACAAGATCTTGGTGGAATAGAAAGCAAATTAACCAAATTGAGGGAATAATTCTTTTCATGCTCTAGAAAAGATAATTTACTTTACAAAATAACTATTACAGATAAAATCCCATTTGATAATCATTTATCCAGAAGGATCATTTCTGACAAACTCTTGGAACACACTCTGGGTTTTCTCATCTGAGTTCGATTCCTTCGTAGGGGATGGGTGGCATTTGCGGAAAATGGACTGGTGCTATGAAGCCGGGGAGCCTTTGTGTGAAGAAGTAAGATTATCTCTATACATTTTACTCTTTAGAATGATTGCATTCACTTTACATTTTCATACAAGATTGCTCTCTCCCACTTCATATGAAAGAATTCTAAAGAAAGAAATCTTTTACTTTTTTTAAGATACAAAATATCTGTGGAGGGATGCAGGCATGGTGGCACAGGTCTGTAATCCCAGCACTCAGGAGACTGAGGCAGGAGCATTGAGAGTTCAAGGCCAGTCTGGGCTAAAAAATGAGACTGTCTCAAAACTAATCTGTGAATGAGTCTATGGTAACTGTGCAGTTTTCTAATAGAAGACAAGTCTCAGGCAGGTGGGACCATTTCTGACATCTTTGGTGAACCCTCCTGGTGAGAGAAATGTTTAGGAGAAGCAGTTCACTAGGAGTCAGAGAACTTCAGAGGACAGATGACATTTGAGCTCATGGAAACATCTGAAGACACTGAATCTTTAAGGGGTTTTAGGGGAGTTTGTGGAGCGGGGGAATTTTTGCAGTAGTGGGAATTGAACCAAGGGAGTGCAGAGCTACATCCTTGGCCCATCTTGCTTTATTATTTTGAAACAGGATCTTACTAAGTTGTCCAGGCCAGCCTGGAATTTGGGGTCCACCTTCCTCAGCCTACTAAGTAATTGAGCTGGGTTGCTAAGTAGCTGGGCTTACAGACATGTACTACTATGCCTGGGCCCTGCATATTTTAGTCTTGAAATTTCCTAATAAACCTATAATGGCAGCACTCACTTTAGTCAAGCTCTGGTGCAAATTCCTAGTCCAGCCAGACTCTTAGGGGGAGTCTTAGGGACACTTTTTCCAGGATAGTTGGAATCCAGTTAAGGCTTCTTGTTGGCCCAAACAAGAACACTTCCCCGTAAGTGGCCTTGAGAGGGAGAAGACCACGCTTCATGAGAAAGCTTTGATCACTGTGGTCAGCTGGTCTTTCCTGGTCTTTGTCTCATTGCTCAGAGGAAGAGGTGGGCTTTGGAGGGTCTTCAGGACACGCAGTTCAAGTGCGGAAGGAAGACTCTATCATGTAGCTTCCCCGTTTTCCTCACTGTTAGTTCCCTGGCAGTATCAGATGACTCACCTAAAGTTAACTCTCAGCCATCAGGATGGGCTTTTGTTCCCAGATCTGCCGTCTCTTTCCTCTCCTAGTCTTCTCAGACAAAAGCATGGTTTACCCTACTTAGATTGCCTTCTTTGGATCAGACTTGGTCTTTTGGATCTGCCAGCTTTGAGACTTGTTCCTGACCATTTCCTCTGCTGGCCTCCTCCTTCGAGCCCTCTTTTGCCTTGTCCCTAAATTACTGTAGTGGCGTCCCTGGCCCAGGGCTCCACCCCCGCCCCCAAGCTCGGTCATGCTCACAGCAGCCAGAGGGATCTTTTGGTGGCTGCTTCATTTCCAGTCCACATCCCTGGATTTGGCCCACTCTTCCAGCCTGTTTTGCTTCCTCTAACCTCCATCTGGTTCTGCCCTCTTTCATCATTGCAGGGTCTCAGCCCTTCACCCAGCAGGCCTGCCCTGTCGTCAGCCTTGCCCTTGCCCTTACTGCTTTTGTCTTGGACTCTGCCTTTGTTTCCTTGTTGCTGGCATTCCATATTTAGTCCATTTTTTCAGCATCACTAAAGTTTCATTTACCACAAGTCGCATTTCTCATCTCATCTTGCTCCCTTCCCTCAGATCTTTGACAATATGAACAGTTTATATTGCAGTTTAATGCACAGTTCTGTATGGTTTTATAATCTTAGCTTATTTCCTTTGTCTTTGATACCTGCCTGATTATACATTTATTTATTTCTTGAAATGGTAATAGAAGGATAGGCTTAAAAAGAGATTCAGTGATCTGTTTGTGCCTTTTAGAAGTCATAAGTGACAAAAGAAAAAAAATCTCTGTGTTCCCAGGATGTGACTCTGAAAGAGCTTATGATATGTTCCGGAGATACTTTGCTTTTAATTGAAGGAAAACTTCCACCTCCGGTAAGATTTTACTTCCAGATAGTATGTAAGTAACAGTTACTGTTTTCTGATTATAAAGATGATACATTCTCATTATGGGAAAGTGTGGAAATACAGACAGTCATAAAAAGAAGACTTTCCCAAAATCCTACCAGTTAAACCTGTTTCCTAGGCCCGGGGATATAGCTCAGTGGCATAAGCGCCTACCTGGCAAGTGCAAGGTCCTGAATTCGATTTCTGGTACCAAAAAAAAATGTTCCTTTTCCATAAACATTTTAAGATAAAATGAAATCAATTATATACAAAGTTTTGTTTCCTTTTTTATATCTAACAATTTAATGTGACCATAAAATCTAGAAATATGATTACTGTTTAATTTACCTGTATTCCTAGTGTTGAAAGTTTAGCTTGATTTTTCTGTTCTTAGAACTAGTACTTAACTATAAATCTTTCTAAGGTAAAATTACTGAATCTAAAGGTGTGAACATATTGAAGACTTGATTTTGTATAACACCAGATTGTCTTCACAAAAGTTGTATAAAATTCACAAAAAGTTGTTCAAAAAATTATTCTGTCCTATCAGCAGAATACTGACCAAGAAAGCTCATTTTATTATTTTAATAAACATTTTATATTACTGCTTTTTAAATTAGTATCAGTTTTCTTAGTGCAAAAAATTGAAAAGATACAAATGAAAACAAAATATGTCCCTAAATTCCAGTACTCAGATAACATTTGTATATGATATAGGAAATTCAGACAGTACAAAAGGCTGAAAGGAAGCAGGAGTCATGCCCACACCTTTGTCTAGAGGGAAACCATCAGTAACTTACTTTTCCTTGTAGATCTTTCTAAGAAAAGTTGGATAGGGCCGGGGATTTAGCTCAGTAATATAAGCACTTCCCTAGCAAGCACAAGGTTGTAAGTTAAATCTCTGGTACAAAAAAAAAATTTTTTTAATACATATGTATGTTTGTATTCGGGGTTAATGTGTGCATATACTTTGTAAAGCTAACATAAGTCAGATTCTGTATTTTATTTTAACCTGCTATTTTGTTCTTTGTTTTTATTTTCTTACTATATCTTAGGATTCTTGCAACAGACCTACCATTCTCTTTTTCATTACTTGTGGAATTCTGTTGTATTTTGTCCTGTGACCTTTAAAGTTATTTGTGAATAGGTAACACTTGTGCTACAAAACTCCAACTGTATAAAAATCAGAACCAGGAAAATACATTTCTTTGCTCCCTGAACATAATTACCCTGAGTTCCCTCTTTAGGCTAACCGGTTTTCTTCTGTATCCCTCCAATGCTGTGGGCTTTTTGATGTACATAGCCCTTAAGTACGTATATGTATATGTATATGTATATGTATATGTACATAGCATACACGTCCATAAAAGACTATATGCTAAACTCACTATTCTGTACTCAGCTTTTTTTATATATCTAAGAATGTACTGGATCAGTGCATATAAAGCCATCTCTTCATTATACTGTGGCTATATAGCAGTCTGTTGTATGGAGGTGTTTTGTTTTTTGGTTTTGGCACTGCTGGTTATCAACCTAGAGCCTTGTGTATGCTAGGCAAGCACGTGTATCACTGAGCTACTATATCCACAGCCCCATAATTTAACTCATCTCTCTTTTTTTGGTACCAGGGATCGAACTCACGTCCTTGTGCTTGCCAGGCAAGTGCTTATGCCACTGAGCTAAATCCCTGGCTTAACTTATCTCTGAGCACTGTAAAAATATGTGTTATGTTTTGCATGGATAGGAGTATTGCTACAGGATAAATTCCCAGAACTGAAATTTCTTTTTCAGAAGTTGTGGCCTGCCATAATGTAACCAGCCTTCCAAAAAGACCTCGAGGATGGGTCATAGGTTTTGCTACCATGAACTATTTGCAATGAATATCCCTCTGTCGGTGGCTTTCTGTGCAGGCACATGTGTCAGAAGGAAGATTCCCAAATGTGGAATGGCTAAATCAAGGGACTTACGTGGTCATTTTAAATTTTAATAACTAAGACCAAATTAATTTCCAAGAATCTCAGTTTTTATTTCTGCCATAACTTACAAACATTCAGGTTTACCCATATTTTTGCCCACTTGAAATAATGTTAGACTTTCTGGATTTTGAGAGTCTAAGAGGTGGAAAAAAAAATTTTTGTTTTGATTTACATGTTGTTAAGTAAAATGAAATTGAATATTAGTTCATCTTCACCATTTTGATAAAGTACTATAGTATGTTTCTTGAAATATGTATTTAAAGTATTTTACATAGTTATTTTTCTCTTATTTTGTATTGATTTATTGGGATGTTTTTTAATTAAAAAAAATGAGGTGGGAAAAACTAAACTAATAATATTGAAATTACAGGGTTTGTTTAAAGGCAGTCGGTTTATTTCCTGTAGTTCCTATGCAGGAATCTAACTTAGATCACAGGCTGTTCTGTCACTGCTTGGAGCTAGTCGTGTGGTACGTTCAGGCTTTGTCACTGTCTGTGCTTTTGTTTTTTTTTTTTTGTCTTTTTCCTTTTTATTGGTACCGGGGATTGAACTCACGACTACCTGCTTGCAAGGCAGGCGCTTACGCTGCTGAGCTAAATCCCCAGCCCCACTTTTGTTTCTTTTATCTACTAAGATACTTCTGTGCAAAGAACATTCAGGCTCAGTCATGCCAAAGTCCAGTTTTTACTATTCTAAACCTTTTATTTTAAATAAGGATAATGTATGACAGTTAATGTTAATGTATGTAAACTAATAAATCCCTTTAAGTATAATGTATGACAGACAGTCTAGGAAGAAAATAATAAATTCAAGAATACTTTATATCCTCAAGATATGTCATCCGGCATCAAGACATGCAGGATGTGGAACTGAAAGTGAAGACTCACTTAACCTTTGTGCATCACAGCAGTTAAATGCTCTGTTCTTCAGGGTTTCCTGAAGGTGCCCATCTGGTGGCACCAGCCACAGGGTCCCTCAGGATGCTGGGAGAGCCGAGACCAGCCCCACAGCAGCCCTGCTGAAGGTGGCAGCTGGAGAGCTGCTGCCACCCAAGGTGAGGACAGACAGAACTGCAGGAGAGCACAGTGCCTGCTCTGAGGGCCCACGGAAATGTGGAGTAGAACCTTACTCGTGTGTCATGCGTCATCCCAAGATGGTAACACTGGTCCGCCTCTGTGCGGTGTTTTTGTAACCTCTGCAAAAGTGCTGTATATCCAATTTCTGTCTTCACTGCTGTCCCCATGCATGGCATTTTCTCAGGCATGGGCTCAAGGGGCAGGAGAGGCCCCACTTGTCATGTGTCAGGGTGTCAGGCTTCATACCACCATGACTGAGTACAAGGGTGGAGTCCAGCTGGAGTCCATGTCTTGCACATCTCCTGGGGTTTGTGTCGCTCTATCACAGCCCCCAGGTCCTACTGCTAGGGCATGTGACATCACTGCCCTCACTTCTCCAGGCAGCGTAAAAATTCATGGCGAGTCACCTGTGAAGAATAGAGTTGCCTTTGTACAAAGCAAGCTTCGCTCCTTACAACAGCACAGTTTAAATGGGAACCTAACGTAGGTAGAGTTATTTTGATATTTTGCTATGTTTTATTTTGTGGTACTGAGATCAGGCCTAGGCCCTCATGTATGCTAGGCAAGCGCTTTCCTGGAGCTGCAACCCAGCCGCAAGAGAAGACATTTGAGTGGGGTCACCTCTTCAGGTGGATTTGTTCTTTTTATCATTCCTTGATTATTTAGCTTGTTTAGTACCTTAAAATATTATCACATAATATATTTCTTTTAAAAAACCTCAGTATCAAGATTAACGTAAATGGCTCTTACTGTTAGAGGTTAAGATGGTATATGTAGAATAGTAATAAAATATTATTAGCTATGAAAGGTTTCTTGTTATTTTAGTTGGGTTACATTAATTCATGTTAACTAATTCTAAAAATATTGAGGTAATAATTACATACAGAGTTGAACACAGATTTTTAAAGCCATGTTAAATCAGTGTTTCTTCTCTATACCATAATTAACAAAAAGGTATATTTTTGATGGTACATATGTGTCACAAGAATTGGGAAATGTATTTCATTATTTAGAATTTCCTGAAAAATACCTTTGTGTGTGTGTGTGTGTGTGTGTGTGTCTTTTTCTTTTTTATGGGTACCGGGGATTGAACTCACGACTGCCTGCTTGCAAGGCAGGTGCTTATGCCGCTGAGCTAAATCTCCAGCCCAAATTTCCTGAAAAATATCTTGCAGATAATGCCAGTCTCCAGTTTTTTTAAGGCATAAGGTGTGGTGCACACCTCTATCCCAGTCACGCGGAAGGCAAGGAGGACTGCAAGTTTAAGGCCAGCCTGGGCATCTGAAGGACTTAGCAAGACCCTGCCTCAAAATCAGCTTTTTTTAAAAAGAACTTAGAGTTTGACTCAGTGGTAGAGTTCTTGCCTAGCAATACACAAGGCCCAGGATTTAATCTTCAGTATGGGTGTGAGACACTCATTAAGAAAGCTTTTACATTTAATTTGTATATAATCAAAATGTAATTGTTATGTATTAGCTGTGAGATCAGCATAAGCAGCCACTGAATCAAAGCAAAAATGTGAGAAAATCTTCTGGATATAAAATTTACATGTAGTGTTTTGTTTTGTTTTGTTTTGAGACAGGATGTCGCTCTATAGTTCAGCCTGGTCTTCAACTCATTGTGTAATCCAGACTGGGCTGGAACTTTCAGTGATTCTCTACCTCCGCCTCCTGAGTGTTGGAATTACAGATGTGCACCCCACATCTGGCAACGTCCAGAGTTTTTTCAAAGAGAGCATTTTAGTTTACCCTTTTAAACCCATCCTTGGAAAGGCCCTCTCCCTGCCAAGGTTTCCTCTTTTGCACACGACTAGGCCTGTACTTTGTGACACTCATCATAGGAGGCCCTGGGGAGACAGGGCTGATGGCTGCTCCCTCTGACCATCCTGTTCTTTGTGAGCTGGAATAAACTGTGCACATGTGAAGAGATAAGAACCGCAAGTTGAGATTGATGGAATGGGAAAGGAAAAGGAAAGAGAAAGGCCCAAAGCCAGTACAAAGAACACAGCAGAATGTCCCACCAGCAAGTCCTTTCTGAGGGCGGAGGAAAGTGCCAAAGGGGCACCGCAGGTGGACCACACAAGGGCAGCTCCCTTAGATCCCTGCCAGCAGCAGCTCCCTGATCCATGATCTCAGCATTATAGCTGGGGGGACTAAGCTCAGGGGCGTGCATTTGGGAGTCTTCAGTGGCCTTTTTTTTTTTTTCTTTTTTGTGGTCTTTTTGAGACAGGGTTTCACTATGCAGTAACAAGCTGGCCTTAGGCACACTTTGTAGCCCAGACTGGTCTCAAACTTGCAGCGATCCTTCTGCCTCAGCCTCCCATTCATTTTAATATGCCTGTTTATAGTATGAGAACATGGATCTGGTAAGCCTGCTAAGCTATCAAACATGGCAGTGTGTTTCAGAAATGGGAGACAGGGAAGCACAGAGTTCCTTCCCAACCCTAGCTCTGTCCTCTTGCAGGCGTTCCTGGCCATGTGCCTGCAGAAGTCCCTCTCCTCTTCCTGGGGGACTTAGACATCTCGGAGGATGCCCGGCTGCTGGACCTGAAGTCTCAGGTCAGACTTTTCCCTGCCTCATGCCATAATGGGTGATGTGGCTTCTTCCAGTGAGAAATTAATATATTCTTCTATTTCCTTTTCCCTTGACCACAGTCTATTCTGATATGGCATTTGTTAGATGCCATGTTCAGGGGTAAGTACTGGCAGGCAGTGCCTGTGGCCCGCAGGGTCCTGGCACCCATCCTGCTGTTGCCCTCGTGGCTGTCACTTACCCGGCTGACAGGCATGCCCCATGTGCTTGTGTTCCAGGCTATCCTTACCACCTGTGTCTTGTGTTCACTTTTATTTTTTAGGGAAACGTGGTTTCTTGAAACATCTTTGTGAAGCATTCACTGCCCCTTTATTTACATTGTGTTGTGCCATTGTGACCCATGAGTTTTGTGTCAGTTTCCCATGAGGTCAACACCCACTTGGAGGTTGGGGCACTAAGTGGGAGGTTGAGCTGTTGTCTGACGCAGTGACAGTTGTGGAGGAGGACGGTCCTGTCCAGCAGGAGGGGTGGGCGAAGCACAGCACAGAGAGTTGAGGAAGCACCTTGCTGTTGTCTGACTTAAGACGAATATTGCTTCCTCTACCTACAGGAAAGAGCGTGGGGCCAGTACCTGGCCAGCCGTCATTGCGAGTCCCCAAAGCTCCGTTCCGTGAGAGCAAGCGGGAAGGCATTTTCCTGGCTACATTAGGTTGGAAGAGAAAATTGCTGTTTGTTGGTTTAAGAAATGGCTGAATTTTGGCCTTTGAACATGCTTCAGCCTAACTACAATCAGGTGCTTGGCGTTACCCGCCCCAACAGTTAGCACAGGCAGCTCCTGCTGGCTGGAGCCCAAGTATCTGAAATACTGACAGTCAAAAGTCCCACCTTAGGCAGAGCAAGTATGGCTACCGGCTTGGGGGAGTGGGGTCCCCCCTTCCCTGGGCCAGATTGCTTTTCTCGGTCACATTCGCTCAAAAGTCTCAGAGGGCTGCTTCTGCCTCAGATGTGGCCGTGGAGAGAGACACAGACTCCTCAGGATGCACTTCAGAGAGTTGTTGCTGCAGCTTTTTAGAAGTAGATGTTAGCGATGCTTGAGGTCCCACCCTCAGATGTGCCATGCTTCACTTGATGTGTTTTTCTGAGTACCTCAAAAAACCAGTGGAGAAATGTCTGTTTCTTTGTCTAGGCCCGGGCCTTGCCACCCGCCTCAGAGCTGGCTGTCCCGGGCCCAGCCCTCCTCAGAGCCTGGACCCTGGAGAACAAGCGCCCCGGCAGGCTCCTGCGCGCTAATCGGCAGCAGCTCAAGTACGTGTCTTGCAGGACGCTTGTCTACCCCGCCCTGCTGCCTTGACAGAGCTGGGGAGCAGACCGAGGGACTCAGTCCTCCGGGTCAGATAAGAGCAGTGAGCCCACTCTGAGCCCTCGGTGAGATCGATGGCATTTCCTCCTACTTTGGGGCAGCTTCCGCTTTCCATGTGCCAGTGAGGCTTTGTGCATTTTTTCCTGTGACATTATCATAATTTAAAAGAATTTGGAGTGAAGTGGAAGTTAGGGGTGAGCCTTGCGTTCAGGAAATGTCTGACACTGCTGCTCTGCCCCCGGGAGCTTTGAACTCAGAGCGCATGTTTGGGCGGTAAGTGGAGTCATCAGTGTGCTTTGCAGAGAGCGGCCCTGCAGGATTCTGTCACATCACGGCTTGTTAACACTGGAAATGTGACAGCATGGGAGTCTAGACCTCAGCCAGAGGATACTTCTTCAGGAATTCGGAGCCAGACCTCTATGTTTAGTACTGGCCCAAATAGCGAAGTACAGTAATCGCCACAGCAGGGGTTTCTGATTTTCTCCATCTCCAAAGCTGCCATGTTCACAAAATAACCCTTAGTTTAAGGAAAAAGCTTAAAATTGTAAAAAGGAAGTTCTCACCAAAAAAAATAAATGATATATCACAGGGATATTTTGTGTCCCTTACTATCAGGGAATACAAACTGGGACGGAGAGCCGCCATCTGCCTGGAGCCCCTGCAGAAGGAAGAACACTTAGGGTAAGAGATGGAGCTTGAAGCAGGCTCCGCACACACCCTCTCATGACCACCCACAGCCTCTAGAAAAATGGAGCAGCCTAACAGGGCAGTGTCCCTTCTCTCTGATTCTGCAAGTAGCTTAGCAACCTGGGACAGACTGCGCTCCAGCAAGGCGCCTGTGTCTGCTGCCTAGAGCTCACCTTCCCGCCACAGGACTGGGGAGAGGGGTTGTACTGGCAACCACATGAGAGGCCCTGCAGCTTTTCAGGGCATTGGAATAGTCTGTCACCACACAGGTGCCAAGCAGCACTCTCACCCCACCCTGGCCTGCTGCCTCCCCCGGTCCTCACCTGACATGCAGCACACCTGCTGGTCTGGTCATGCTTCCTCCCTCCCACCTGAGAACCTAAGCCGTGAGAGCTTAGGGTTACTGTTTACTGTTCCTGCAGCAGCGCATTCATGATGCAATGTGTCCAAGGCTGCTTCCTAGAGGTGGCATTCTGGGTAACGTGGCATCGGTCAGGGCTGGGGAGGTGGCTCAGCGGCAGAGCGCCTGGCTGGCATACCCAAGGCCCTGTGATGCACCCCCAGTACTGCCAAGTAATTCAGTAGTTAAGTTCCTTTCCAGACAAATTGCACCTCACTCTCAAGCTAGTCTTGAGTAGTTCACTGTTGAGAGGTTTCTGAGGTGATAAGTGAAAGGTGTTTCCTTTCTCTCCAGTGCTTTGACTGCTAGTAAGGTGGGCCATGTTTTCAAAGGCTGATAAGCATTTGTATTTTGTGACTGAATAAATTATCTCATTTACTTTTCTGTTTTTGTAACAGGCTCAGAAAAAATCATGTAACTTGTACAGCCCCTGTATACCAGCTTTGGACCCTGTGTCATATCTGTACAGGCAGTGTCTTACAAAACAGCCTTGGTGCTAGGCCCTAGCACTGCCCTTGTCCCATGGCTCCCATGGCCCAGCTGCAGGGTACTCTCACTGTCCCCAAGGAAGCTTCTAGAACTACCTCTTCTTCCCTAGCCTTGTCCCCTACACACTGCTGCCATGACCCCTTTTCCTACGATTGTTCCCAGGACCACACCTGTCCCTGCTGAGCTGGGGCCGGCACCTCGGGAGTCACCTCTCTCAGCCATCCCTCCTTGTCTTGCCACCCTTTCTGCCAAGCATTCCCTGTGGCCTGTCACAGTGCCTGTGTAGCCAGTTTTCTCTCTGCTCCTCATTTCCCTCTCCCCATCTCAAGAATCTGTTCCTGCTGAGGTTTCTTTCTCCATCCTCAACTCTCTTCCCAACGTGCAGCTGGGTTTCTCCTCCCTGGCTGCCCCACACACCTTGAGTGTGTTGCTCCTAGGGGCACGTGCATTCATCTACCTCAAACCACCTTTCTGCTGGCTGCTCAGCTTCTGGTTCCACACCACATTTCCCAGTCGGCTCCATGGGGCCTGCATCCACTTCCTGTCTGCTGTCCTCGCGCAGGGTCTCTACCTCTCCAGGGACTTTGCTGTGGCTCCAGGTCTTCACTTTGTTTGCTCAGGATTGAAGAAAATTGGGCAAAGAATAAAGATTCCCTACTGGCACTGAGAATTTGTTTTTGTGTCTTTTGAGAGAGAGTCTATGTAGTTTAGGCTGGCTTGGACTGTGGAGCCTAGCGTGGCAGCACTTCTGATGTGGCTTTAGTCTGTGCTTTCCCAACAGGTAACAGTGCTAAGCATTTTTTTCCATAGCCTGTTTGACGTGTATGTGTCTATTTTGATGAAATGTCTCTTGACCTCAGACTCATGGTAATCTTCTTGCCTCTCTGGAGTGCTGAGCTGACAGGCATGTTCCACCACACCTGGCCAACATGGAGGATTTAGGGCATATCCCCCTGTTAAAAGCCCAGGGGAGTCAGAGGGAACATTGCCTGTTGCCCTAGCAGTATACATTTTGCCCAGTTTCGTGACTTCTTTGTCCTCTGGTGCAGCCCGCAGGAGGTACTGCTGAGGACACAGATGCGCATCCCGGGGCAGAGGCTCTACGCCCCGGCCGTGGACTTGGTGTGGGACACTGCCCGAGGCAGCACTGCTGGGGCCCTGCGTCAAAGAGTGGCCGATTGCTATGCTCTTCCTGTGGAGAAAATTGAAATTGCCAAGTACTTCCCAGAGAAGTTTGAGTGGCTTCCCATCTCCAGCTGGGTAATGTCTCGGGGCCTCCTGTGGGGCTTGGGACTGCCGTTGGAATTTGCCAGTGTTTCATAGTGGTAGAGCACTCAGGAGGAATCTCAGATTGAGTTTTAAGATGTTCGATCTTCCTGTAGAACCAGCAAGTTACCAGGAAGAAAAAGAAGAAAAAGCAAGATAATTTGCAAGGCGCACCCTATTATTTAAAAGATGGAGACACAATTGGTATTAAGGTGGGTTGTTTAACAGCTATTTTACAGCTCAGACAAGACAGGAGGCTCAAATGATTTTTATAGAGAAGCCTTAACAGTAGGTGATCAGAATACAGATAACCCTGTCAGCCAGGTCGCTTCAGAGTGTGGGTAAGAGGTAGTGCCAGGCAATTCATTTAAGGACAATAAAACTTGATACCAGAACTGCCAAGGGCACTAACAGAAAATTTAGACCAATTGTGTTTATGACCATAAATATAAAAATCTTAATAAAAAATACTAGCAAACAAAACTTCCAACTACATTTTTAAAAATATTTCTATATGAGCTGGGCATGGTGGCATCTGCCTATAACCCCAGCACATGGGAGACTGAGGCAGGAGGATTGCTGCAAGTACAAGGCCAGCCTAGACTTCCATAATTCCCCACGGGTAAGACCAGGTCATGTATTAATTTTTGCACCAGAAGATACAATAGGACTTAACTTTCAGGGAATGTTTTATTTTTTCATGTGCAGCAATTTATGTTTATTCATGTCCAACAATCTACATTCTCTCAAATATGGTCATGTCATAACTCTCAACCCCAAAGTCTGGCCTAAATTATTTTGTGGTTCCTGTAGAACCGTTGGCCCCAGTCACCCATGCCTCACCATAGTACTTTCCATAAGGGAGCACTTCATGTGCAGGTAGCTGCCCAGCACCATGACAGTCATCACCGCGTGTGCATGGCCTCATGCACTGTCTGTGCCCGGGGTCGCCCGTCAGTGAGTTGTGGTCATCAGCTAACAGGTGTTTACCTCTTCAGGTAGAGGCACCCACTTGGGCATTTATGAACACTTACAATTTATAGTATCATGTTTTAAGTATTAATGTCAGTAATATTATTTATATTTAATTACATATGAATATTACTTTATAATTCTGTTGTGTGTGCATTGCATGTTGCAGTCTACATATGAAAAGTGTTCATTTGATGATGTTAACTGGGCTTATTTTGGGTAAGGCTTATAGTACACACATCCTTAAAATTCAGGCCAGGGCTTATTTTCCAGTTTGGTTATTTTGGGGGAAATAGGGTACACAGCAAGAAAGCGCCTGTCTCAAAAACAAAAACAAAAACTGCTTTTAAATGTTCATGCTACTGCAGAGTTGGCCTGTGTCAGGAATGCAGGGTAGCAATCCAGGTAGCAATCCAGGTCACGTAGGTCCTGGGCTCACAGGCATCCACTGCCACCTCCCTGCTCGTACTCAGCAGCTTCTCAAAGCTTTAAGGACAGTGTATGTACCTGACAGGACAGAGACTTCCTCACGGCAATGACCTGCAGCACGTGTGGTCAGCCGCCCTCCTGCAGGCCATCACCAAGCGTCAGAACTGTTGCAGCTCCTTGGGCAGAGTACTCTGGTCTACATCTCACAATTGCCCGGGAGCCTTCAGAATTGTCCCTTCCCTGTTCCCTCATTCCTTCGGGCAGCATCAGAACAACAGCCAGGCAGCCAGCCCGAGCCTCTCTGAAGTCACGCTTCAGCTGTGGCCGTGTGCGGGTGACACAGTGTGGCTGCCTAGGCAAGGCCCTCAGAGATGCCTTAGTCTGGCTCGGTCTGGTGGAACACTTGTGGGAGAAGGCGAAGGTTGCAGTGCTGCTAGTTGATTTCCCCTGTGAAGCACTTCCTGCCCTCCACATTTGTTTCCAGCAAACACCAGCATGGTTTCTATCATTATTAACCCAAATATGTTAATTTCAGTGATAGCTGTTGCTTACTTAAATTTTGAAATGTCTAAGTATAAGCTGAACAGATGTCTGAAAACATTGCTCATTATTTTGAAATGCAGAATCTCCTGGTTGACGACAACGAGGATTTCAGTACAATCAGAGACGACATTGGAAAAGAAAACCTGAAACAGCAAGCACTAGGGAAAAGGCTCAGGTAATTCCCAGGGGTGGTGACCTGGCCTTTTCTGCCCCTCACACACTTCCCCCCTGCCGAGGGCGCCCCACAGAGCCCCCCTTTGCTGCCTCTTGGGACTTCACCCTTCTTCCTCCTGCGCCGTCCCGCTTGGTGCGTGCTCTTGGTTCAGGAATCGGCCTTCGAGCTCATGGCCGCCCAGCTGTGGCAGCAGGCCTCAGTTCCTGGCCACTGCTCCCCAGGCCACTGTTCCTTGGCTGTTGCTCCCAGGCCTCCAGCCCCACCAGCACATGGCCTTGGTCCCGCCTGCACCCCTCATGGCCCTTGCAGCTGGGGGCTTTCACACACACTCCTGGCTTCCCCTGGCCCCAGGGTCACACAGATCCCCAGGCCTGGAACCGAGCGCTGCCCCCTCCCACCCTGTGAGAGCCCTGGTGGCCTGGTACCCACCTTGTGGGCCCACAGCGCTCACCCCTTGTACTGCACTATTTCTGCCTGGGGCAGGCTAGGAGGTTCTCTTACCCAGCCTGGCCCTACTCACCTAGTCCCCCAGGCTCCGCCACCATATTGGGTACCAGCATGGTGGGCACATGGGCCTGTGGAGGCTACCAGGCCACAGAGGGCAGAGGGACCGTTCCCCGGCTGACAGCAAGCAAGGCCTCCCCTTCAGGGCATGGCATGGGAATGATGAGAGCCAATGTGTGAGTTTAAAGAACCCCTTTGCTGCTGGGTAGTGAGAGTTGGTTTGGGGACTGGCAAGACTGACACTTAAATGAGAATGACAGTGATGGCAGTAGGGGGAGATAAGAATGTGGGCCCGAGCCCAAAGCTGGCTCTTTCCCAACTTCCCCGTGCAAGCGCAGCACTGTGCAGCAGGGTAGGCAGTGGCTCAGCGTGCTGGGGGCGCCATCACCTCTGCCCAGGCACGCGCGGACCACGGGCTCCGCACACAGCCGCTGTCTCTCTAGCAGTTCGCTGCTCTTCTCTCAGTGCCACCTCCTCCAGGACTCCGTCCTCCATGCCCCTTGGCCTTAGGACCCACTTGTCACCCAAGCCCTTTGCCCTGTCAGCCCGTCCCCAGGGACATGTGTCCTTGCCCCATTCTAGCTCTGCACCCTGCAAGACCTGCTGGTGTCGTGTGGCAGCCAGGATGGCAGGGTTCGAGGCTCTGCTGCTGCAGGGTTTCCCAGGTAAAACCCTCCCTGTGTCTGGCAGCAGTGGCGCACACACCCAAGCCTTCAGGGCTCCCACCTGCTCCTGTCAGTTTGCATCACCCAGGTTCCCAGGCCCTGTCACCTTCCCTCCCAGGTGAAGGACTTTAAAATGAGAGCTGCTGTCACTGAAACACCTGCAAGTAGCATCAGAGCAGTCCTGTCCGCACCAGCCAGATTAGTCAGGTGACCCGGTACTTTTGTCCATTTCACTTTCTTTTTAGAGTTGTAGTGACATGCTTCCAAATTCAGAAGCCACTGATGAAGCTCCCTGTGCAGTCTGCACCCCTCCCTCCCTCTCTCATTGGCCTGCACCCTCCAGGGACTGTTGCCCACTTGGCCTTTCCTGCCTCGCAGGCAGAGGAGGCTCTTGCTTGGCTGCTCTTTGCCAGGGCAGCCAGGTGCATGGTGCCCCTGCCTGGTGCTCCTCACAGCTCTGCCATAGGCGCGTGTGTGGATGTATGTGTGGGACAGAATGTCTGGGTCAGAGGCTGTGGCCATTGCTAATTTAAGAAACATACTTGTAAAAGGATAGCAAATCAGAGGAGGAGGTAGAGAGTATGAACAGACAGTTTACTAACAGGTGTGCAAAACATGTTCCACCGGCCAAGCATGCGGCAGCCACCTGTGATCCCAGCTACTTGGGAGGCTGAGACTGGAAGATGGTGTGTTCAGGGCCTCCCAAAGTTCAGTCCCCAGCCCCCAGTGCAAAAATGAAGGTCAGCTAAAGCCGTCCAAAAAGATGTGTCAGTCCAGACTGCTGTGAGACACGCCACTCTGCAGCACTCTGCAGGCCAGCCCTGAGGGGTGCAGCATCCTGGGGACAGCATCCTCTGCTGGTGGGTGTGAGCCTGGGACACGCACCTCCCAGGCACAGGCCCCCCAGACAAACCGGAAGCCTGGCAGGAGGGGCAGCCAGGCAGCCACACACAGTGCCCACAGCACCGGGACAGCTGTGGGTATCCAGCTCCCACACCTCAAATGTCTAGTTCAGAAAGGGGGTGGGTCACCCTGCCATGGGCAGTGCCCTCTGCGAGCAGACGAGACCTGAGTCCCACCTCGAACCCTCCCTAGTGGTATGAGAAGTGGTGCACACTTAGGGCCTCCGTGGGGCTGGGAAGCTTTACCCTGCATGGGACTCCCTTCTGGCCACTGGGCCTGGGGCGTGCCTGCAAGTCAGCGCTGGCCTCTGTCTCCACAGCCGGGAAGCCCTGCGCGCACAGAGCGGCGACATGCTCTCCAGTTCTGGGACGCCTGCTCGGCCCCGAGGACCTGAAGCTGCTCTGTCAATCCACGTGGGCAGCTTCCGATAGCACTGGGGCTGGCACTGTGCTGTGGCTGTGGGCTTTGTGACCAGACAAGCAAGTGCGCCACACTGAGCCTGCTACGCCACACCTGCACACCTGCTTTGCCGAGTGAGCTGGACATACGTGTGCATGTGTAACACGATTCCCATTGCTGTCCCACATGCAGCTGGTGTGCCCATGAGCACTGAGCAGCAAATCCACCCTCCAGTGCTCACAGGTAGCTTCCAAATATCAAGCAAAACTGGCCTCAAAGCCCTTACCTCCAAGTCAGCTGACAGCCACAGAGTTCAGGATGTCTCAGTGCCACCTGCAGTGCTACAGCCTCTGCTGTCAGAAGGCAGCAGAGTCATTGGGGACAAGCCTGTCACAGTCAGGGCCACCACTCAGGGCTGGCCGAGCTGAATTCCCGAGCAGCCTCCGTTCACACCAGGGAAGGTGAGGCTGAAACTTCCACCAGTGTAGACAGAGGGCCTCGAGTGGGCTCAGGACACACACCTGAGGCGGGAGACGGATGACAGCAGCCATGGTTGCCTTCCCCGGTTCGGGCCCTCCAAGATGGCCCTGCCCCTCTCCCTGTGCTCCTCCAGGCATCCCTGCATGCCGGTGGAGGCACTGACACAGCCCGGCACCTGGTGAGTGCTGGCACACTGGTGCCAAGAAGCGAAGGGCAAGGACCGGTGGGAAGGCACGCAGCCCAAGACTGCCTAGACAATGCAGCCTGCAGGGAGTGCCCGCTCTGGCCTTTTTCTTCACTTGGGGGCTGGCGGGGGTAAGCATAGAGAAAGCTCGAAGATTAAAAACGCCTTTGCAGGTGCCAAGGTGCTCAGTTTTTATGCTGGCCTGCTCCCCAGTGCAGGGGCTTGGCGCCATGTTCAGGACCATGCACAGCCTGCCAGGGAATCTGAACTGCCGCAAAGCTCCTCTTCCCTCTGGGGCTGGGCCAGGCCAGGCCTGGCCATGGTGGCACCACCGCAGGAAGCAGAAACAGACTGCTGCGGTGATGGACAGCTGCTAGAGCAGTGGGGCAAGTGTCCCCGTGAGGGACCTGGGCAGCCCCTGCTGCATCCTGCTCCTGATGATGGTGCCTGCCGCAGTACAGCTGTCATAGAGTACAACAAGCAAGCCACATGGTGGGGACGAAGGGGGATTCGTGCTGGGAGGACACTGTGACCCCAACACAGGTGTGGGGACTACAGCACGAATCCCCCTTCCCCACACCGTGTGGCTTGCGCCCAGCTCCTGGCCGAAGTTTTAACTCAGTATGCCACACCCTGTATCCTGAAGACAATAGCTTTCTGTTTCCCTTGGAAGCCACCAAAAATTTGACTATTTTTGGAACAGATGAAAAGCAACTGAATTCAGTTCAGCAATGTTTTATGTCAGAGCACGAAGAATGAGAACAAGGACTCTGACAGCGGAAGATCAAAAACAGGCTCATTTTATTTATACACAGAATGATGTATGTACAGCTTGCCAACGGGCCTATGTACAGATCCACACGCGGCGTCTGTGGCCAGGTGGTCACCATATAAATTAGTATAAATATGAGGGGTACCCACCAGGGCACAAGACCTCTTCAGGACCCCAGGGGCCTCCCTGCTGCCCTCCTTCCACAGACAGGACACCAACCTGCAGCGCCCTGGGGATGCAGGGCAGCCTGTGCCCAGCTGCCAGGTCCTGAACTGCTTGCACTGGACCTTTCACATCTCTCTAGCATAATTAAGCGCTTTTTACATAAACCGTCTTTTTATACAAACTGTCAACACTGCTTCTAAATAATATCCCTGACCCAAACTCAGTGCTGTCTGAGAGGACGTGGAGGATTTACTTTTGCTTTCCCCCTTACATCCACTTGTCTGAGCTTCCTCTGACTGGGCCAGCAGTACCAGGCACACAGGCTTGCATCACCTCAGTGAGCTGCTCCCATACCCTGCCGCTGGTTTCACTGCCTACAGCAACTGTGGTGCAGACAGCCACACACAGCAACACTACAAGCACTTCCACTGAACTCAAGGTCCAGGAGGTAGCTCTGCCCAATTTGCACCAAGTCCTGTTGCCAATAAGGTACAGGGACAGGCAATGGTGCACGTAGGGACAGCCTGGGTCAGGCAGGTGGGAAATCCAGTTGGGTATCCCACAGCCAGCCAGGTCTACACCTGGCCCTGCTGCACCTCTGGACAAAGCCCTTAGCAGTTCCCTGCCCGGCCTGTGCATGTCAGACAGGGTGACTCAAGCAAAGGGCTGGGGGTCACACCACTGTGGTCCTCCGCTGTGCAGCCACAGCCCAGTAGCCCTCAAGTCACACCAATGACAGAGTCACAGTGCCCTTCCAGGTGCTGCTAGGACGGCACCTGCATGGGGAGAAAGGACTGGAGCCCGGGCCCAGCACAGGTGCAGGACAGCAGCATGGACCTGAGTGTTCCCCACAGGGACAACAGGGCTGGCAGCAGCAGACGGGAAGCCACCCTAGCCAAGATTCTGAGCCTGGGAACCTGCTCATTATCCAGTGGCAACCAGACCCACCGTCTGGTCCCCCCACGCTGCTTTCCAGAGTCCTGTGGGACAAGGAGCTGTCCCCGCACACACCTCAGGAGGCGCACCCACCAGGAACAGGCCTGTCGCCGCACCACCCCCTCTCCCCATCTCAGGCAGTGGGTGCTTTAGTTCCCAGAGCAGGTAAGAACGGGACCAAAGCGCATCCAGGCCGCTCTCAACCCGGGCAAGTGCACAAGCTGTGTTAAAAACCCTTGGAACAAATGGGACAGGAGCAGGGGCTGCCCTGCGGGGCTGCCGTGGAGAACCACAGTGGCTGTCAGGCACCAAGGACATTCTGGGGTGGGGCCACATAGGCCACACTGGTCATGCTTCCGAGAGCCAGCAGGGTGGTCACCTGACATAACCAACCCAGAATGAGTAGCGAGGAGCCCTGCAAAACAAGCGGGCTCTGTGGACTGGGACACGGTGCTATCCGTGCTGTGACAGAGCCAGGAAAGGTGGCATTTCCAAGGTAGCTGTGTTGTTGGTGTGTTTGGAACCAAACTGTCAGGAACAGGTGTCAGAGGCTTCCTGTTACCGTCCGAGGGAGTAGCACCATGAGAAAGGCTGGGCGGCGGCCTAGGCCTCAGTTGCAGGACGGGCAGGGGATGCAGACAGAGAAGGCGGAGGCTAGGCCTCGGTGGCAGGGGCGCTGCGGCTCAGCTCCTTGATCCCATAGAGGATCCTCTTCATGTGGCCCACCTTGGTCACGCCGAGGTCCTGCAACAGAGGACAGCCACTGTGGACACTGCAAAGTGGCACGGGCAGGTCTGAGACCGGCCCGCCACTGGTGGCTTTCCCGCTGGCTTTCAGAACACAGATGAGGGTGAAAAGGATGATGTCAGAAGATGGGAATGGCAAAGTGACAGTCACACAGGTGCCCAGCACATTGTTCCTGAATCCCACAAAAGTCACTGACATGATCAAAGAATTCAACAGACAGAGCCAGAACACAGGCCTAGAGCAGAGGCGGCTGGGGGCCTCAAGGAGGGCACTGCTTCTGCTCCGTCTAGAGTATGGGCAGTGTGGACAGGGACAGGGATAGGGCTTTGGAACCAGGGCCGTACATACCCCACACTAACTAGAGAAGCCCCCATGAGCTGGGCACCATGCTGGCAGGCTCTGATGCTGAGCTGTTACTTAGCAACCTGGCCACAGAAACCAAGGCTCCCCCCAACCCGGGTGGCTCCCCACCTGGCTGGGCTGTGCCAGGTGGGGCCAGAGCGACAGCCACCTAGGGCCCCAAGGTGCCCGCAGGGGCTGGTAAGCAAACTGGTGCCAGGGCATGGCCAGGTGAGGGGGTTCATGTGGGAGCCCCAGGATCGCCTGTGAAGTACCTTGAGGTCTCTCCGCTCCAGGTGCAGGAGCTCGGAGCCCCGGATGTCGTGTCGCGTGAAGATGTCCTTATACTCACAGAGACTGAGGTGCTCCAGCCAGGCAGCAACCTCCTCTGTCCCCCAGAGGTGAACTGTCAGAGACGGAAAAGCATGAGCGCACTGAGTGCCCCGAGCCCAGCGCAAGGCAGGTGGTGGCCAGCATTCGACACGCCCAGCAACAAGCAGCACCGAGACCTTGGCAATGGCACCCTTGCCCCACAGCCAGCACCCGCCACCCAGCCACAAGCAGGATCATCAGCCATGCATAAGAGATAGGGGTGCCTGCCAAGGGGCCACCAGCTTCCGCGTCCCAAGAGGAACATGACAGCACTCTGCAGGGGACACTGCCAGCTGCAGCGCACAGGAAACATTCAGAGAATTTCACTGGGTCAGAACCCCCACAGAAACCAATTTCCAGACAAACGTGCAAAGATAAATCAAAAGGGAGCTGGCCCGAGTGGTGGCAGATGCCGCCCTGCACTCTAGGCCGAGGGTGAGGGCCAAGCCCTTGGGCAGATTGTGTGAACCCAATTACAGACCCTTCCATGCCACTGCCTACTGATTTTATCGCCCACCATCACTGGTGGCCTGGATTCCCAGATCAGGGCCCTTGATCAGCGATCACAAACAGGCGGGAGCAGCCCAAGAAGGAGCGGGCACAGTCCAGTCCAGAGTGTCACGTCTGCAAGTTTGTCTCGTCATCTCTGCTCCTCCTCCCACCCTGAGGAGGTGGGCAGACAGCTCAGGGGCCTGGGTTTCCACGGAACAGTGAGACTGAGAGGGTGTGACAGTGGTCAGCACCCAGAGGGAACACAGAGAGGAGCGGGGCCGCACAAGGAAAGCCCCGGGAAGCAGGGCCAGGAGCTCGGCTGCGCCAGCCGGGCAGGAGGGAACAAGCCAGTACCCGGGCCTCCCAGGCTGCTGTGGGCCTCTCTGTTCTTGTTGTTCTTCTCCTTTTTGAACTTGGTCACCAGGCGGAATTTACCACTGCGGCTGCGCTTGGCGAGATCCAGCATCACATTCTGAGGGGAGAGGGACACAATTAGCCCCGCAGCCCCAGCTCTGCCCCTTGGAACTGGGGCGCCTTGCAGGTCCAACTCCAACCAGCAGTGCCATCCAACCACAGGGGTTAAAGAAATCGTGGTGGCTACTTTTAATTGTGCTTTCTTCACTTTGTAACACAGGTGTTTCTCCTGTGATGGGGATTTCCTGTCACTGTGTGCCAGCGCACAGAGGTCCCTGGAGCCAGTGACTTAGCCAGGTGCTCCGTGGCCCAGCAGCTCTGCACTGCGTGTCCCTTCCTAAGCTGCTTGCCCTCGGCAGGCAGGCAGGGCAGGCTGGGGGGCAGCAGCAGCACAGATGCTTTTTCCGGTAACGGCCCCCGGGCAGGGAGCAGGGCTCTATAAACTTCACAGGGATGGCAGCCTAAAAGTACTGGATGATTACACCAATACTATACAGTAGAAAACACAAAACTTTTAAAGAACTCATTTAGACACTTATTTGGCAGTTTTATGACTCGATATAGTAACAGTGTATCTTCTAATATAAAGTGACCTTTTGCCTAATGTCTTACACAATTCTTCTTTTTTCTCATGTAGTTCAGGCTGGGTTTCATCTCAGTAATCCTCCTGCCTCAGCCTCCCAACTGGTGTCACAGGTGTGCACCACATGTGGTTGCAATTCCATTCTGTTATATACAAGTGGCCCCCAACTCATGATGGTTCAACTTAACAATTTTCAGCTGGGCACAGCACACTCACACAGCAGCTGTGTTCCTCACGCTCAGTATGGCATTCAGGCAGTCTCCTGAGCTATTTCCCACTCAGGTTAACTCCGTAATCCCGACATCAGTACGGCAGGCCGAGCTAGGCTAAGCTGGCAGGCAGGCTCCATGAGGTGCATGCACAGTACACAGTGTTTACTGGGGCCAGAGTCCCACTGTTAGTAAAGGAACATGGTGTCCCAAGATTTTGGGTGATTGTTTTTGTTGTACTAGGGATCAAAGCCTCCACGCTAAAGCTACACCCTAGTCCTTTCTTTCTCTTGAGATGGGGTCTCACTAAGTCACTGAGGTTCCCAGGCTGGGCACAAATTTGCAGTTGCCCTGCCTCAGCCTCTGGAGTAGCTGCTCACAGGCAGCTTTTATCAGGGGCACACACTGAGCTGGGCACTGTCTTCCCAGCACCTGGACCTGGACCAGCCCTGCAGCTCAGCTGCATCTCCCAGCTGCCGGGGTCACTCTCAACCCCAGCCCAGCTGCTTCCCATGTCTGCTTCTCTTCTCTGCCTGCCATGAAGTATGCTGTACCAGAGGCCTCGGGAAGAAGACTGAAGGGCATCGAACCCGCATGCAACCCAGACCCACGTACCTCCTCGTCCCCAGGCTCCACAGGCTGGCAGAGCCAGTGCATGTCCGCCAGCTTCCTGAGCTGCCTGTCCATCTCGGTGAGGGCAGCTCCAAGCCGCTCCTTCTGAGGGAGGTCCAGCTGCTGCTCCAAGGGAAAGAGACGCAGCTGCTGACTGCAGTCGGGCCCAGGTCAGCAAAGCCCAGGCAGATGGGCAGCCCTGCCACTCAGAGCACCCAGAAATACTCCGACAGAACCACGCAAGGGTCCAAGTCCTGCAACAGCCCACCTGGGCCAGCACAGGCAAACCAGGCTACACACCGCCAGGTGGCTGCTCATGTTCTGAGCACTGGGTACAGCAATGCCAGGAGGCTGCTAAGGCAGCAGCTCTGGCACTCGGGGTCAGCACGATATTTGCAGGGAACAAATATGACGCTAGATAAGGTATCCAGCAAGGCCCTCTGTGTCCTTATCCCAAGGAGTTGGGACAGGAGACAGCGCAGCACACAGGAGGGCAGAGGCCACCAAGGGAGGTGCACCACCCTAGGACGTGGACCTTGAGAACTCACCAGGGCCATCTTCCCAGCCAGCAGCAGTTCCGTCTCACTGCGCAGAGCTCTGACGTTGTTCACTATTTCCTGGACGAAGCTGTAGTTCAGCCCCTGCAAGGAACCAAGACAGACGGCATGTGGAGGCCAAGGTAGCAGGAGGCACCGGGGAGCAGACATGAGAAGACCAGGTACCTCCGCAGTTCTGGCCTTGCCATACACCCGGTCCATAGCCTTGGAGCTGGCGTTGACGGCGTGAGCAAGCTCCTGCTCCACAGCTTGGTGGGACTGCGCTATCTCCCGAATGCTAGAGGGAAGGAGACCCAGCAGGCTGTATCTCAGCCACCCGCACAAGAGGGCACACAGCCCACCCTCCTTCCTCCATAGTTAATAGCGGGAGGGTTAAAAGGCCACTCTGCGATCCAGCTCCAGGCCTTGCCAGGGAGGGAAGTGCACGGAAGAAGGGCAGGCAGCTGAGCACCCAACAGGCAGGCCCACCACAGCATCCACAGTGACACCGGGGTGCTCACACAGCACGGTTCCAGCCCTGGAGCAGCCCTTGTGTGGCGCCCAGGCAGCACAGCAGGGGCCAGGGCGGAAAAGCCGCCATCACTGGAGAGGCAGCACCAGGCAAGCAGGCCCAGGACTGGAAGATGGGGGTGAGTGACCATGGGAAGAAGAGGGTAGCGGGCAGCCACCGGCAGCAGCAGTGCTGACCATGTAGAGGGAAGGCAGTATGGGCCAGGGCACGGGAGCCCAGGGAGGGCACAGAGCCAGAGCACAGAAGCCTGGAGACTCAAGAAGCCGGGGCAGGATGAAAGGGCAGGAGGCAGGCACATGGCCACCTGGAAGCCTGGAAGCACTGTGCCACCAGGGCCGTGGCACAGCCAGATGTCAAAGTCAGGACAGGAGTAAACACCTGAGCCACTGTGTCTCTACTGGCAGCAGAGCAGCATAGAGACATGCTCAGAGGTGTCCCGAGAAAGCCAGCTGGCTTTTAGGGTCTATGGGTGGTCCCAAAGCTGTGCACACACCTCCTCTAAGAACTGAGGTGAGTGACCCCACACATGAAACCCAGAGAAGCCCCAGAGGCAGTGGAGCCCACCTGTGGATGAGGACCCCCGCTGCCTGGCAGAACTGGTCCATCTGCATGGCCTCCTCCTCAGACAGGATCTCAGGGTGCAGTGAGAAGGAGGGTGGACGGGGCAGCTCGCACTTCTGCTTGTCCTCCCAGGACTTGAGAGTGTTCTCGAAGGCCTGGGTGCGAGAGCCTGGGCTGACACCTCCCACGCACTGCAAAGGGCGCTGGCCAGCCGCCCTCAGCCAGGGACAGACACAGGTCCTTCCTAGCACCACCCTCCACCTGACAGGAAAGCACACAGTGCCCTGGCTTCTCCACCACCAGCACACAGTGGGCGCTGCAATGCTTCTGGCTTGGCCCCTACACAGCTCATCTTCGTTGTTTGGTTTTCTGAAACACAGTTTTACTGCATAGTTCAGGATGGCCTCACACTCATTGATCCTGCCTCAGCTTCCCGGGTGTGGGGATGACAGGTGTTGCCTCTGTGACTGGCGGGGCAACTGTCCTTACCCTGTCTCTGGTCAGTGTCTGTGCCCGGTTCTTGTGGACAATCCGAATGTACCCAGGTGGCTGGATCCAGGCCTCTCCATCCACCTGCACAGGGACGCCCTCTTCGCCCAGGATGGAAATCTTTACCGTGCGACACTACACAGAACCATAGCCATCAACAGTGCGCAGCCATGGCCTCCAGGGTTGCTGCCCTGGAGCTCCACAGCAGCGTTATGCCCATGCCAAGCACAGCTGCCTAGGGCTGACCCCCACCCCATAGGAACAGGGGACCCTGGTGTTGGCACCTAGGGACCATCAGATACCAACAGCTTCAGAACAAGTCCAACAAACAGATCTCCCTCTCTTTTCCACAAAAATATTGCCCAAAACAAAAATGTGATCTTCAAACCACCTTCTACTGAAGCCAGGCAAGCACATGGAGAGACTGGCCAGCCCCATGGCCACCATCCTGCAGAGCACCCTTGTGGGCGTGCCCCCCCAAAGCCTGCTCACTACGCCCCTCAACCCAGGCCCTCACTCACCCATCCTGTCAAGGCACAGTGTACTCAGTGGTGTACCAGTTTGGAAGGGGTTCTTTTTGAGAGATTGACTTTCATGTCCAGCCAACCTGTGGCATCTAAGCCAGGCCACCCAAGGGGCCCAGCAAGCCCTGGAGGACTAGGGTCTCTACCTGGGCAATCCGGTGATGCTGCAGCTTAATCACACGGGACACAGCCATCTGCATGCTGCCAAACACAGCGACCACTTCCAAAATCTTGTCGTCGAATGATGGAGCGGCAAACGTCTGAAAGGGCAGGTGCAGGACCTGACCCCAGCCCTCCTTGCACAGCTAGTGCCCCTCATGGGGACCCCAACAAGCAGTCACCATGGGCAACTGCTGACACACTGCGGACGTCTTTGCGCTGTAGCCCAGAAGCTGCCTAGCTGGGAGGCCCTGCAAGCTCAATTCCTGCCTTCCTCCATTTCCTTGGCTGCCCAGGGGACAGGATGTGTCAGGGTGACAGTGCTAATGTGTGCACACTCTGGAACAGGATGGGCCGGAATGGAGAAGCCATACCCTGGCTGAAAATCTCCCCCTTGATCCTTTGTGCACATGCCCGCCTTCTTCCTGGCTGCAACCACCCCCTATCCCCGATGCAGGAGGTAACTCTCCTCAGCGAGCTCCGGTGCCTGGCCCTGCCCCACCCCGACTTCAGGTCCCTCCAGACCACTGAAAGTGAGGCTTTCAGAGGCTCCAGGGCTTCAGCACCACTGCTCTTGCGAGAGGCCCTGTCTGCCTGGGCCCCTTTGAATCCTCGGCCTGTACCAGGACAGACAGACGGCACTCAATGTGCCAAGTCACAGCACTGCCATTCCCAGCTGCCCTCCAGCCCATGCCCAGTACATACGTCATCTTCCTTGGTGCCGCCCCAGAAGTTGGTCCCTCCAGCATAGCTGGGAATATTGAGGACTGCAATTCCCTGAAGACTGGGGAGGGGGATAGGGCGGCCATCACACTGCGCAGCACAAATGCAAGGAAAGACAAACGACATGGTGTGACACCCTCTGCTCTGGTGTCCACAGGACCTGGGGTGGGCATGGAGTGGCCCTCGGGTGCCCATACCCTCTCCACTTACCTCCAGCAAGACCTTCTGCTCCAGGTTCTTGTAGGTCCTGTGCAGCAGCTCTTTGGTGCCCAGGACTCCATACCACATCATGTTCTTGGTCCTACTCCTAGACATGGAAGCAAAGCCTTCTCAGCTGGGACACCTGCGACAGCTCAGGTCACCAAGCAGGCACCCTCAGCAGGCCCAGGCAGGCCAGGCTGCAGCCTCAACTCGGAGATGCCTGTGTACATCTGCCATGGAGACCTTGCTTCAAAGTAATCTTGCCAAGAAAATCCTCATGCCCAAAAGGCAAATAAATAAACCTGGTAAGAAGCATATACATCAGGAGCCTCTTCCTGTGCAAAATTACACTTCCACAGAAACCGTGGGAAATGCAGGAAAGCACTGAGGGAAGATAATCCTCCCAGCCCAGCCCGGCAGTGCCAGTAGGGATTCTCAGCACACTTTTTATGAGTCTTTGTTCTATTTTTTGCTATTTACACAGAATCTTGCAGTGTAGCCCAGGCTGGCTGCATACTGGATGACCCCCCTGCCTCCGCCCCTGGTGCTGGAGTTACAGACCTGCACCGCCCCACCTGGAGGTCTGCACAACTACTACCTGCTTCCACTGCAGGCTGAGGAGGCTCATTAAAGACATGCGGCCCTTTCCACAGGACTGTGGTAACGTGACCGTCAACCGTGGGGTAAGCCCATTGCCTAGATGTCCGCCTGCATGGCTCCCCCTTCTGCCTGCGCCGCGTTCTGCCCCCGCCTTCTGCTTAGCATCCTGCAACCTGGTGGTGGCCAGTAGCACCCACCTGCACTTCTCCGGGTGCTCATCCCGCTTGTTGTTGAAGTCCAGTGATATCTTCGCATCCAAGCCGATGCCAAAGTAGTTGTTCATGACGCACTTCTCCGTGTAGAGCTCGCTGCGGAGGGAAGGTTCAAACCCATTACCGCCGCCGGCATGCCTGTCTGCTTCACAGACTTAGGCAGTCAAACCCATACATATCATGTGCATTTTTAGAGGCTGTTTGCATTTTCTGCCCCAGGGCTCAGGCCCGCTCAGCTGCTTGGCTCTGCTAGCAGCTTTCCTAACCTACACCGTGTAGTCTTGAGGACCGGCTCCTCTGCCTGTATTCCCCGGACCCATCTATACCAAGGCATCCATCCAGACACTGTTCCACGCTTTTACAAGTTCCCCAGCTACTGGCCACTGGCAGTGTCCACCTGCTTGGCTAGCACCCAGGGGCGGAGGTTGGCAGGTCTCCAGGCACCAGTGGGGAGCTGCCTGCCCCTTTCTCACAGCTGTGCTGTCAGGGACAGCAGAACTCTTTAGGGTTCAGAAACCCACTCATCTCAAGTCTGGGTCTCCAGACACTTCCCACACCCGTGGACCTGTGAAGCAGTCCTCATATGAGAGAGGGGCTCAAAAACAGCTATCCCAGCCAGGGACTTGAACCTCACTTCCCAGGAATGGTGCTAGGGAACTCGCTCCCTGGCCTCCACCCACCCTGCACCCCAGCCTTACCCCCTCCTCTGCTATGGCACTAGGTAGGAAGGTAAGGAAGGAGGTGGCGAGAGACACACAGGGAGGGGCGCCTGGATTTCTGATACTGCCTCCGTGGGCGTCCATGAGGATGCAGCACGACACAGACGCGTGGACCCGACAGCTGGCAGCAGCTGGCTGGGAGCAGAGCTCAGACAGCACTGTTCTCTACACTGCAGACCACATGACTGATGGTATTTTTAGGTCCTGGGAAAAGGGAACTAACCCAGAAACAAAGGGCAAGGGACTGGGGAAGGAGAGGACAGAGGCGCAGGGGCCTAGGAGGTCTACAGCTGCTGTGCCAGAGAGGCCACCTCCACCCAGCCAGAGCCTTGATGCCCCACACAGTTCGGGGTACATCCCTGGGGGAGGGGGCACAGGCCTAGCGTGGGCAGGGCTTCAGTGACCCCAGAGGAGGGAAGCAAACTAAATGCCTGGCCTGGAGGCCCTCAAAGCACTGCTCCTTAGAAGGACTGTAGCACTGGGTCAGCCCGAGGAAAGCAGAGGCCAGGCCTAGGTATCCACCACAGGCCAGAGCGGAACCCAGAGCCATGCCCTCCCATGTGAGTGCGGTGACCGCAGCAGCCGGCGTGTAGCCCTGCGGCACAGCATCTGCGGCTTCCTCAGCTGCCAACACAGCTCGCATCAGCACCAGTCTCGTAACTGGTCAGCAAGCGGCTCCCTAATACCCGCCTTCATGCCTCACAGACGCTAGAGGATGAGGGCCATGTTCCCGCAGGGCAGCAGCCCAGGCTTGTACCTAAAGGCCTAAACAAGACAGCATCTCCCTGGAAGTCATAAGTCATGACTTTTCAGCCTGGGAATCCAGAGATTTGCCTCATGACCAGGCAGTGGACAGCCGGGGAAGCAGGGCAGGTTTAGGCAGGAAAGGAGCTTCAGTATGGGACCAGCAGGGTCTCCAAAGCCAGGCAAGTAGAGGTGACCAACAAGGACAAAGCCAGCCTTCAGGGGGTGTTTGCAAGCCCACAAAAGCTTCTGAAAGTGAGCTGGCAGGGAGGACACAGGCCATGCGTGCTGCCCGCAGGTGGCTCATGGTGGTGGCCCTGTCAAACTCCTTAAACTTAGCCTCAGCTTCAAGATGTCCTCAGTGGCTGATTCTGGCTAGAAAGGGGCCCTGGGCTGCTCCCCTTCCTCGAACAGAGCATACCCCCATACTCACAGGTGTTCTGGCTCGGTGTTAAAAGGATCAGCATTGAGCAGCAGGCGGCTGATGACTGAGCCGCCAGGCAAGGAGCCGGACATCCCAGCCCGAACACCTGCAGGGAGCAGAGTAGGCAGAGGGGCCCTGAGCAGGAGGATGCACCCTGTGCAACACCAGCATCAAACAGCTCTGGAAGTAGCTAAGTGGCAGGACCAAGTTTCAACAGCAGGGGCTCAAAAATCACCAGCACCCCGTAATTACAGAGCAGAAACAGGCACACTGGGCTGCAGAACCCAACACCAAGAGACACTTAAAAACAACCTTCCCAAGGGCACCGCTTGAGCACCAGCATTCTCCCACGGTCACAGAAATGCCGAAGTGACATTTGCCTGTCTGTGGGCCCGTGAGCTCTCTAGGACAGTAACCCTGCTGTATCCAAGCTGACCCAGTACCCAAGCCACAAGACAGGCCAGCATGGGGCGGTAGCAGCCCCACAGATGGGTGGGGGCCCAAGCACTTACTGGGGTACAGGATCTTGGTGTTCAGCGCTGGCAGCCCATCCCGGCTTCCCGTCTGGGGAGGAAGAGAGGCAGAGCTGCCCACAGACAGACCCCCTTTGCCCATCAGCTTTTCACAGGGGGACCGGGACACTGTGAAACAGGACAGAAACCCTTCAGACCATCCCACCCACATGGCTGGAATCCCAAGGCCAAGGGAACAGGCTGTAGGCAGGCGGGGGCTGCAAGCCCCTGGTACTCAGCATGGGGGGGGAGGGTTTAAGGGGCTCCGGCAAAGACACATGCCAGGCGTAGATTCATCTGGAGGCCATGCAGACTGCAGTGGCAGCCTGGGGACGGACTGCGTTGAGCAGCAGGCAGCTGATGACTGAGCTGCCAGGCGGGGGCTGCAAGCTCCTGGTACCCAGCATGGGGGGGGGCGGGCTCTGAGTGCACCCCTTGGTGGCCTGGCCAGGCTGGGCTCTGTGCCTGGAGAGCTCCTGTCCCCACGTGAGCAGCTCTGGATACTCCTCCAACCCCGCAGCCTCAGCACAGCTCACAGTCCACCCCAAGAGTTCTGAAGCCCACCATTCTGAGCAGCCTGCACCCTCATCCCCTCAGGTTTTCTGGCTCAGCACACCCCAGAGCCCCAGACCAACTGCAACCTCAGTAATGCATGCACCCAAGCCACAAGCCTGACATGGCCCAGGGCCAAAGCAATAAGAAAGCTCCCTGAAGCTCTCAGTGACACATGAGTTCCTGTGTGTCCCAGAAGTGAAGCCCAACTCCACAGCTGTACCTTTGCGGTGGCCCCTGCCCTTGGGCACTCCACAGCCCTCGCTGTGGGCTAGTGGTGGGCACGCCTTGTCCTCCTTCCTTGGATCCCTCTTCTCCTCTGTGGTGGGGAGGCCCAGCACGAAGCCCTCCTGTGCCTGAGTCTGGGCATTCTGCTCGTCCACGGCTGGCGGGAAGAGGGTGCTACAGCCAGCTGGCGTGGTGGCCATGCTCCCCAGGGCCCCCTGAGGGCTCAGGCTGCAGCTCCTCCAGCACCCCCTCCCACCCTCTGTGCCAACAAGCTGGGGAGGACCCCAGGGCAAGGTTAGAGCAGCCAGGCAGACAGGTGGCATGGGCACACTGGTGCCAGGTGGAGGTCCTGATGCTGCTTAGAGTGAAGGGCAGGGTAAGAAGTGAAGGACAGGGTAAGAACGACTGTGTGGGTGAAGGGACCTTGGCCTCAGCCAAGGTGTGAGGGTCTGCAAGGGGGAAGGACAAGGCCAGACCCAGCGTGGTGGCTTGGGTGTCCCTCCCATCTGTCACCAGGCCCATTACCTTTCTCTGTGTGCTCTATGATCTGGCGGATCGCCTTCTTCAGGCTGTTGGCGCGCAGCATGAGCTGCTCCCGGGGCCGGAAGATCTGTGGTCGTGCAGGGCACGTTGGGCCCACCAGGCGGTCCCCAGCAGAGCCGCAGACGTTGCCTGCCCCATCACCATCTTCGGTCTCCTCGGCGATGGTAGGTGGCGGATTGGGCAGAGAGGAAGAGGCCTGGGACTCATCATCCAAGGTCTTGAGGAGTGAGTCCAGCTTCTCCTTCAGGACTGAGCACTAGGTGGGGGACACTGACATGAAGCACATACCCTGCCCACCCCAACCCCCACCGCGACCCCTTCCTGTGGGCCTGCAACGTACCTTCTTGGCCATGACCTCCGACTCCTCCGAGCTCTCTGTTGTCTTTTCATAGGCCTTGCCCACTCGGGCCACGAAGTCCTTCACCGTTTCACAGAGCACCCTGGGGGACACAGAATGGGCTGAGCTGGTACCAAGGGCACCTCGGGGGAGGCCCTGTCTTCCCAAGACCCCACACTCACTTAGCTGATGAGATCACCACCGAGTGCTGGTCTGAGGTCAGGATCTTAGAAAGGTGGGCCGCAACTGAGTCTTCATAGAAGAGGATCTGCTGCACCTGCAATCAGTCGCCCCCAACAAGAGGGCCACAACCCATGATCACAGTGAGCTCAGGGCATGACCCAAGCTGAAGCACTTTTCCCTCAGCCGAAGCCTCAGCTCGTTGGGAAGGTACCATAGGCAGCCAGTGCTCTGGGCACCACTACACTGTGGATGGGCCAAGACACTGTTCTGAACACAAAGGAACCTGTCCACAGAGATGCTCTCCCTTGCTGCAGTCTGAGGTCACGAGGTGGCCTGACAGGGCCCCTACACCCTAACCTGTCCATCCTCAGGAACAGGCTGGGGGGCAGAGCTGTCACAGTGGGATGAAGGCGTGTCCTCCCTGCTGGCCCCTGCCCACCAACGCAGGGCTCCCCAATGACCCATGATGTGGCTGCTCTCAGCCCTGCCTAGGGCCAGTGAGCTTCACTACCAGCCCAGGTGAGAACAAGGCCAGGCAGCTCTGTTTGCCAACCACTGCCTAGGGAGGCCTGCTCCACTCAGCCAGCAGCCAGCCTGGCAAGGTGCAGAACATCACCAGAAGGGAAGGAGGGAGACAGAATCACAAAGATAAGGCCTACGAACCAAACAGAACACAAAGCTGAATCCTGGCAGTCTGGGGGAAAGAGCACTGAGCCAGAGGGGTAGAGCGGAGGAAGGCGTGGGTGCAGGGGCTACACAGACTGTGCAGGGGAGGCCACCAGGACACACCCTCCCCAAGCCCTGGCAAGAACCTGGGAAAGCCCTGGTGTGAGCAGCGCCCAGCCGTGACCCTGCAGGGCGGCAGCCAACTCCTCTGCAGAGCAGCCAGGTCCAGTGAGCAGTACCTCGGAGTCCTCGCTGAAGTCTTCGGTGACAGTGGAGGAGGAGGTCTGCCGGGGAAGCTTGGTCTCATATGCCATGACACTCCACCTGTGGGATGAGGCAGCTCAGTCAGTGTGCCCCCGCAGTCCCTGTAGGGCCCTACCTCCCCGAGCCCCCATGTCATCCTCTGAATGCATGTGTGACTTGGCCATCTCCATCTCAGGCCACAAAGGCAGTGGGGAGCAGAGGATTCCCATGAATAAGTACTCTGGGAAGATGCTGCAGCAGGAGACACCCTTCTCTGCCGCAGAGCCCCACATCCTCCCGACAACAGATGTGCCGGGTGGGGGGCTGCCTCCCACCACCCCTAGATCAGAACCCCAACTCCAACACCCAGGCTGTAGCATGTGGTCCCAGGACGCTGCCATCCAGCTAAGAACCAGAAGTGCCTGACTGAAGATACCCTGGAGGCCCTGACCCACGCTGCAGCCTCTCAAGAATGGGAGCAGATAAGACAGCCACTCGAGCAGGTGGCCAGCAGTGCTGGCCCAAGGAACTTGAGGCTGGCCGCGGCTGCTTCTCTGCAGCCTTTGGTGGCCTCGTGAGAAGACCTGACCATCCCAGGACACGGCTCTTACTGTGTGTGTGTGTGTGTGTGTGTGTGTGTGTGTGTATGTATGTTTTGTGTGTGTGTGTGTGTGTGTATGTTTTGTGTGTGTGTGTGTGTGTGTGTGTGTATGTTTTGTGTGTGTGTGTGTGTGTGTGTGTGTGTGTGTGTGTGTGTGTGTGTTTTTAATACCAGGGATCAAACTCACAGCCTTGAGCTTGCCAGTCAGGCGCTGTGCCACTGAGCTAAATCTCGGGTCCTTTTTGATTTTTTTTAAAGGAATATATGCTTAGGTCAAACCCTGCCCAGCACAGCGGCCCCACTCACCTGTCCAACATCTTTGTGCTGGCCCTCTCCAGCTTCGCCAAGATCTGGGGGAGCTGAGTGTCATCATCACAGGCCGCACCCCAGCCAAGCACTCGGGCCAGGTCGTTCCCTGTCCCCAGGGGCAGTACTCCCAGCTGACACTAACAGAAACGGGTGGGAAGATACACACTGGAACACAGGAGAACAAGAAGCCTTGCCCTGTGCCTCCAACACCTGTGGCAACAGCGCGCGCGCGCGTGCGTGCGTGCGTGCGTGCGTGCGTGCCTGTGTGTGTCTGTGTGTGTGTTAGACCTGACTGGAAGCATATGGTCTGCACTTACTAGCAGAGCCCACCAGAGTGGACAGATGTCTTTGTTATACATCAGCAGAGCAGGGTCACCAGGCCTCTTGACGATATACCCTCCAGACCTCAGACCTGGGGTCCTGAGCCCTTCCCTTCCCCTTGCTCATAGGTCTGTAACTTGTGCCGGCCTCTATCTACCCTAGCAGCTAACTGACCAAACTCCCCTTCCAGGCATCACTGGCATCGCTAGCATCGCTCTAAGACTCTTAGGATGCTTCTGAGGGCTTCGAAGTCTTGTCAGAACAAACAGGCCAGGGTCACCCCCTGAGCAGACGCCCCAGGCCCAATGCATATCTCCCACCTGCCACGGCACATAACCTTGCCCTGCATGTCACACTCCTACCCCAGAGCCCCTGAAGTCTGTGCTCAAGGCCCCCTCTATGGGCTGCTCAAAGCGCTCTAGCAGTCACCAGGGATGACAGTGACCAGCCAGAGCACAGCCTGTAGTGCTCACGGGTCCTGAGGCTGGGACTCACCCCGCCCAGCCACCTGTCCCCTCCCAACAGCCTGTGGGAATGCATGACAGAAGGCCACAGGAGGAGGCAGTGTCCCATGGGGACACACAGGAAGGAGGGGCGAGGGTTTGGCCAAGGCTCCCAGCAGCATAGGGTACAGGGGGTTCCCAAGGAGGAGGAAGCAGACATGCAGAGCCCAGAGTGGCTCTGGTGGTGCCATTGCTGGGATAGACCCATCATGGCAGGCTGAGAAGGCATGCAGCTGAGCAAGGACACAACAGGCAGGGCGGGAGGAGTGGGCAGGGCTGCCCCTACAGTGGCACATAGAGGGAATTGAGGGGGACACAGCCTCAAGAGCAACTCAAGACTTTTGCTCAGATGCCTGGGTGGTTTTCAGGCTTTCAGGCTCCACAGACCGGCACAAGGCTGGGGGATGGTGACCTACAGGCCCAGGGACACATGGCAGCAAAACTGCACATCCCCAAGCCTCCCTCATGTGAAGGAGCCAGGAGAAGAAGAAACACCACCAGGTGCGAGCCCAGGGGCCCAGGCAGAGCAGCTGGAAGAACACCCGGGGCAGCAGGGAAACCAGAAGATATGGCAGAAGCCCTGAGACTGTGTCATCCGCTAGTAAGCTCGGCAGCACAGCGATCCACCAACCGGGCACAGCCCTACAGACGGCACCAGGCTGCCCGTCTCCCCTTCCCAAGATCTGGCTGGACTGCCACACTCTTGTGACTCGGCTCAGAGCACAGGACTTGAGCACAAGAAATGTGCTCCAGGCACGCAGGCGCTCAGCTGGGCTTTCTAAGAGGACCCCAGCAATGGGCTGCGGTGCAGCTCGGTGGAAGCATACCTGCTTAATGTGAGGCCCGGGGTTTGAGCCCTGACATGTGGGGCAGAGCATGAAACAGCTAGTTCTCAGATTGGCAATCCTGGATTGGGACCAGGTGTCTGAATAGGACAAATGATGAAGGCCAAAAAGGAAAGGACAACCAAAAAAAGTGCTTTGCTGACAAATGACAAACTACAAGACAGAATCTGCAATGACAGACAAATTAACGTGACAATAATCAGACATCAATTTTTTTTAAAAATGAACTAAATATTATGAAAGAAAATGAGACAGACAACTCATCTAAAAATCTTACTGTTGGGGTGGCCAAGGATTTAGCTCAATGATACAAGTGCCTGCCTGGCAAGAGCAGGGTCATGAGTTTAATCCCCCAAATAACCAAAAACAACCTTATTGTCTGTCAACTGAGACAATGCTTAACAATTAAAGAAATATTGTAAAAATACAACTTTATTTGCTTAGTTAGGCAAAACTAGAAAGATGAGCCCATGGTCGCAGAGAGGACACAGAGTACACAGCCCTGAGGAATTAGGGACCCGCCCCAGGGTTTAACCATGCTCTGGAAAAACAAAGGACTCAGAGGAGTCCCTGAGCCACCTGAGTCCCCAACAAGAGGAGAGCAACTCGGGCCACCTGTCCCTAGGACGCCAGACCCAGGGCACTTGCTGAGGTGCAGCGCATAGCTCCCAGGAGCACAAGGGCATAGGCAGGGGCAGTAGAGTGACTCACAGCACATGCCATACTGGGTACATCTGTACACAAGCTGAGACACCACAGAGATGTCACCATGACTGACCACCCTGGGAGAGGCGCAGCTAGAGTAAAGACCCAGTGAACACGAGAGCTGGAGCTGACGAGCCACACTGAGGCACCTTCCCTCCCCGCCTCCCAGGCCAGAGGCGCCACACCAGAGTGGTCCACAGCACCACTGCGAGCCGGGCAAGGGGACAGAGCCTCAGACCTGCGGCCAGAGCACCCAAGGAAGCTCCCTTTACCTAATCAAACTTCTGGCTCCTCAGATGCTCCCCCTGGATGGGCTTCTGAGATGCCCCGGGGCCCTGTCCTGCCCTTCCTCCTGCCCGCAGCCACGACCCACACCCCCTCCACCCCTCCGCTCCCGTGACCCTGCTCTCCGCCCCAGCCCCTTCCAGGCACCTGCTTGTGGAGATTGAGGCTGTCGATTTCAGAGAGGACCCAGCCAACGCTGCCATCCCCGCCACAAACCAGAATCCGGAAGGTGTCAAACTTCTGGAATAACCGCAAGCTGCAGAGGAAGGGAGTCAGTGAGAGGACTCGCAGTCTAGGGGAGCCACTGCTCTTCGCAGCCTCTACCCTTTGTGTCAGCTGAGGCCCAGCCAGTCCTCAGCCAGAGCCAGGGTCCATCCCCGTACGACAGCTGGAGACACCGCCTCCCGGGCAGCACCAGACCCTGCATGGCACCCTACGGAACTATAGGTCACCCCTGCTGCCCATGACTAGACCCTGCTGAGCTCCTGCACTGCCCTGCAGCCTGGACACTTGGCCTCGGGCCAGGCAGTTGAGTCTCTTTCAACCACTCTGCAATGTCGCCTTGGCAACAATGACTCTGCCCACAAGGTGATCCGACCCCTTCCCCCTGTAAGCCCTTCTCAATCTCTCCTGGCTCCTGCAGTTCAGTTGGCCCCACACACAGGACCCCAACCCAGGGTACCCCAGCTACTTCGACCCACTCCTTACCCTCCTCCTGCCTAGCTCTACCTGTTTTTGGGCTTCACACCATGCCAAATGACCTCAAACCAACACTCCTGCAGCCCTGCCTGCACCTGGTCACCAGGACACCTGCCTGGAGCCCCATGGTGCCTCAGGCAGGACATATACCTTCTCGAGGACAAGCATCACCATCTGGGTCTAGCTGGCCAACCAACATCCCTGGCGCTCTCCCTCTGCCCTCATTGTGCCCAGCTGGTCTCAGCCCCTACTTGTCCCTAGTCTTCAGCGTCACCCAAGGGTGCCACCCCATCCCCAGGAAAGAGCTGACCTTTCCCCTAGGCAGGAGCCACCTGCATGCACCCTTACCCGGCACATGCACTGGGAAAGGAGGAGGGAGTGCAGTGCACACGCCAACTCTGCCGGACACGGGCACAGCAGGACAGAGGCTGGCCTGAAACTTCTGGGTCGCCACCAGAGGGTCAGGGCACCATCAGGGCACCACTGTACTGAAGTGACTCTGCCTGTCCAAGTTTGCCCCTGCTGTCTCTTCACATACTTTCTCTTTGCCTTTTAGCAGTAATGGAGCTTGAACCCAGGACTTCTGCATTAAGCTACATCCCCAGTCCTTTATTATTTTGAGACAGGGCCTCACTAAGTCAGTAAACTGCCCAGGCTGGTCTCACACTTGCAACTCTCCTGCCTCAGCCTTCCAGAGGGCTAGGATTATAGGAAGTGTACCACCACCCCAGTTGTCATCACATACTTAATTCTGACTACAAATCGGGGAGCTCTGTGTGCGTGCCAAAATTCATATTTTATTATTCTCTAGTTCTACCGTGCTGCTGCCTGCCCAAAGCCATTATGAAGCACTTCAGCCAGTGTCCCTGGCAGCCCATCCAGCATCCCGAGCTGCTTGGTCTCCCGGCCTCTTTTCTTCCCGGACTCCCGCCCCCAAGAGAGGTGAGACACCTTCCACTTTTCCTTTCTAAACGGAAGCGCTTATGCCTGGGTTCGGGTGTGCGTGACCCCAGTGAGAGCAGAAGAGGCTGCCTGCAGGGCCAGGGGCACTGCCTTCGAGCAGACAGGCTGCCATGGGGGTCTCTGTCCCACAGGCCTCAATGCAAGCAGGGAAGCCAACCCATAAGGCACCTTGAAGGGCCCGTGTTCACAGATCAGCAGGTGATGTCCTGCACGGCAGCCAGGTGTCAGCCAAGGACAGGCAGTGGGTGAGCCCAGCTGAGTTATTGCAGCATCGAGTTCCAAGAACAATGCCTGCTCCCTGTCCAGACACAGCCCTCCGCTCTGGCAGCTTCCTGAGCCCCACCTTGAACCATGCTCCAAGGAGAATGGAGTTAGTGCAGATGGCAAAACTTAACGGAAGCACATGGTTTCTACAGTGCTAAGGACATGTACAGGCCCCAGCCTGCACCCAGCCCCGCAGGCTCTCATGCACTGAGGCCTCTCATGTGCTGATGACCTCCCTGGTGGGAAGCTTCCTGGGCACGGAGCAGCCAGCAAGGTAGGGGCAGGTCCAGGGGCGCTGACCAGAGACACCAGCACTAGTGCACCACAGCAGTGGCAGTAGGGTCAGCTGGCTTAGAAGGGAGTGAGAGAGAGAGAGAGAGAGAGAGAGAGAGAGAGAGAGAGAGTAGGGTCAGCTGGCTTAGAAGGGAATAAGAGTGTGTGTGTGTGTGTGTGTGTGTGTGTGTGTGTGTGTGTGTGTCAGCTGGCTTACAAGGGAGTAAGAGTGTGTGTGTGTGTGTGTGTGTAGTGCCTATGTGCAAACCTCCATTGATTAGTAACAGCAGGTCCCGCCTCTGAGGGAAGGTTGGAGACAGGTGCTTCCTATTTTAAATTTTCTGTACCTTTTTAAAAATAAACAAACTTTATTTACAAACAGCAGAACTCCCAAAAATACAACTTGAAAGTCTCCTACCCAAGGTGTGGTCCTCCGTTCATGAGGTCGAAGACCTGCGCAGGGTTCAACAGCTGCTTGAATCTTCTAAGGAACTTCACACCCTGGTTGTCCCCACTTTTAGAATTGACAAAGACCAGCAGAGGACTTGTACAAGATGGGGGACAGGTGGCCTTCCAGAACCCTGGATGTGAACAGGGAACAGGACAGAAGAACCGGGGTAAGCCGTGGAAGGAAAGTGACCCATAGGCAGCAGCGCATGGTATAGGCGACAGGGGACCCACAGGCACCTGCCATTAACAGTGAAGGCCAAGCAAGCTACTGCCCTGCTGTCACTCCCCAGGTGTGACAAGCAGGTCCCACCCAAATTGACCTCATGTGTGCCCACACCCTTGCCCTGGCCCATCTCACAGTTACTTCCCCTGAGCCGCCAAGGGTCTCTGCCAGAGACTCTGGCTTCAGTCTGCCAATACCACCTGCCACCATGTGCCAGCTGGACTCACACAAGCAGCCCAAGCCAGCCTGCTAGAGCGGCCACATCAGGATGGGCGTGGCTCCTGCAGCTTCCCACAGAGCCAGTGACCATGGACCAGGCCCCACCGGATAGCAGAGTAGATCCAGCGCCTTCAGGGAAAATGCAGGGCGCACTTCCAGAGGCCACTCCCCCTCCACAACTGCTTCCCACCACCAAGGCAGCCATGGAGGACCTACCATCAGAGTCAATGCTGTTGAGTGCAGTGGGAGGGATGACAGACACCTTGCACAGGCCGAGTGGGCACTTGGTCATCAAGGACTCCTTACATGACGTATGCACCTGCAACAGAATGCCGGTCAGTGGGGTTCAGAGGCTCTCACACACACCAGGATGCTGGGCAGGGCAGACATGGGCGCCTTCGGGGCTGGGCGCAGCACAGCACCCGCCTTGCCTGTGCCTCAGCTCCTCCTGGCCAGCCCTGCTCCAACCAGGGAACAACATCACCCCCTCCACAGGCCAGCCTCTCACCATTGCCTTACACCACAGGCAGCGCCAGTCCTGTAGGCGCAGCACGCTGCCGCACGTCTTCTCACACACTGTGCACTTGGCACTCACTGGCAAGTTCCCTTCCAGCCACTGGTGTGGCATGGCGATCTGCAGAGCAAGTGGACACAGCTGCTAGAGACATCCAGAACTGCAACCTAGGGCCAGCCAGAGCCCAAGGACTAGGACACTGCCCCAGCCAGAGGACCGGGGGGGGCAGCACCTAGGCCACCAGCAGATGCACACACAGAACAGCAAGGAAGGGGCCCCACACGCACCCCATCCTCATCCTCGATGATGTCCTTCCCGATCGAAGCCAGCGTGGTCCACTTGCAGTTGTTGGTTGCTCGCACAGCACAGCGTTTATGGGCCTTGAATTTGCATACTGTGAGAGGAGCACATGAAGTGACAAGCAGCACCTATGACAGTACCTCCACGCGGGGTGGGAAGCTGTGGTGACAGGCTCCTCAGTGCTTTGGCCTGGACGGGGAACCAGGCAGGGAGACCAGACTGCCTGAGGGCAGCCCAGGAGCTGCAGGCAAAGCCAGTGATGTGCAGACTATGAGGTCTAAATGTCATCCGACTTCTGCAGATCATGCGAGCTTCTGAATCTGCTCGACCATCTGTTTTTTGTTTAGCTTTATTTTCTTCTTGAGACAGGGTCTCCCTATGTAGTTCATAGCTAGCTCTGAATTCACTACAGAGCTCAGGCTGGCCCTCCAACTCTCATCGGTCTTCCTGCCTTGGCTTCCTGTGTACTGGGATTACAGGCATGTACCACTTTGTCCAGGATCTTAAACCATTTAAAATGTAAAACCCTGTTAAGCTCACAAACTAAGGAAACTATGCAGTAGACAGGACCTGGCCATAGGCCCCTGCTTAAGGCCCCTCCTTGATGCCTCTGTGAGGCATCTTTAATCCTTGTTTCCACAACCCAGGCAGCAGTGCCACCCACGCAGTCCATGTGCTTGATGGCTGCCATTCGCTTTAACGCCCTTTACCTGGGAGCTTTATGCCAGGCTCCTCGGTGGGTAAACCACAGGATGCAGGGGACTCCTGGCGGCTTATTTATGGTGACTGTATTTGATTTCCAACACTCTGCCAAGCAGAACCTCAGGCTACCTTTTGCAAGACAAACACAAAGGCAGCACTCATACCTTCGCAGGACAGCCCATGGGATGTGACCCCCGACAGGGCCTCCCGGCACACGTTGCAGTAGGTCGGTCGTGCGTGGGAACAGGCGTACCAGTTATGCGTCCCTGAGAAATGGTCCATGCTGTACTGGGTGGGCTGGAAGAGCGAAATGGACAGCAGAGGTCAGGTGCCCTTCCAGACTCTTAAATGAGCAGCCTGAACCCTGGAGAGGAAGAGGACGCCTTGTGAAGGTCAGGTCCCAGAGCGCCAGGGCAGCCGAGAGGCAGCCTTTGTCTGACGGGCCCACATGGAGGCCACAGCCCGAGTCCCGGAGCACCACAGGCAAGGGGGATGCACGCAGAAGGTGGCGCTTCTGACCTCAAAATGCTCCCTGCTCTGCACGGTCTTGAGTGCTGCAATCCAGTCCTCCATCTCCTTCCTGTTGTCTGCACACAGGATGAGCTTCCTGCAGGGAGTGATGACCTGCGGAAGACACGCAATGCAGCCTGAGCCAGGCCGCCTGCTGCAGATAGCTTCCAAGCCAGCCTTCGGAAACGCATGTTGCGGATGCCCATGAGGGAAACCAGCCTCTCACAGGGACAGTCACACAGGGAACACAACCATGGCCATCACAATCACTAAGAGTCAACAACATCCTCCAACTAGAAAGAAGTGAACAGGTTGTGGCGGCGCATTGCTGTAATCCCAGCACTCAGGAGGCTGAGACAGGAGGATTGTTGCAAGTCCAGGGCCACCCTGGGCTACAAAGTGAGTTGAAGGCCAGCCTGAAGTGCACAGTAAGACCGTCTCAAAAAAAATCAAGAAAAGAAACAAACAAATTTAGTTTCCGTATTCATCAGGAATCAACTAAAGCCGACATTTACGAAGACTCACTCCCTCAGACATAAATACTAAACTGCAGGAAAGCCAGAGGAGAAGGAGTCACATACACAGGAGCATAGCTGTGTCACTCAGAGCTGCACCTGCTGGCCAGCACCTGAACAGCGCAGGGTGCCACCAGTCACTCCAAAGCCCAGCAGCATGAGCAGGTGCCACACATCAGGTAAAAGGGGAATAGCCAGCTCCTGTCAGGGCCTGACCAGTTAACACCACAGACCTGTTGATGACCAGTGGGTGCAAACAGCACCCACAAAGTGACAGAAACTCTTGTCAGAAAAAGAAGGCTGTCGACATGCACTTCAGAGTATGAACACAAGCTGCTGCATCACGGCAGGCAGCAGGGGTGGAAATAGCACACCTACTTCTACCTGGCAGACTGGCAAAGCTCTAAACGATGAAAATCTGGCTCTGGCAAAGGTCTGAGGGAAGCGTACTCAGTACTAACAGGAGGCAGACAAAAGGACTTTTCTAAACAAAAATGTGACAGGGTTTCAATAGTCATAAACTCTTTTTCCAATGATGTCCAGCATCTAACTGGTTCCAAACCAAATCTGCAAAACCAGATCTGTGCCGAAGCCTGGCTTGCCCATGTCTATCCTGTTGGCGGCAGGTGGCCCCCTTCTGAGTAGAAGGTGTGCGTTCACAGCCTCTTCACAGGGCCATGCTCGGACACACACCCCACCTACGCTCACCTAGGTGCTGCACTCACCCAGGTGCTGGCCATGCTCCATCGAGGAGTGGAGCGGGGAGCAGAGAGGAGAGGAGCAGCCAGCCAGCCCTAGGCTACAACAGCAGTTTCACAAGCCAGGCATGCTGGCCAAACCTGTGAACCCCAGCACTGTGGGAGGCTGAGGCAGAAGGACTGCAAACTCAAGGCTAGCCTGGGCTATGTTGTGAGACCCTGCCTACATACATACATAAAATCAATCTTGTGTTTCACATAGTGCCACCAAGAATGGATCCTTTCCTATTTTTGCCACTGCATCGCTGGGATGGATCCCTGGACGTGGATGCTCCCACAAAAAGTAAACACAGGGGGCCTCCCCAGCTGCTCCACACCCCCTCCACAGGCCCATCCAGTGGTGTGAGGGCAGTGCCTGCATCCCTGGGATCCACCAGGCATATGGTTTCACTTCTGCATTCCTGCTCACCCTACAGCTCTGCCTCTTATCAAGACTCCACCAGACACCGATTTCTATTGCTGGCTGGTCACCTTCTAGGTGCTGACCATTGTCACAACTGGTTTCTCTCCAGCAATGAATACAGTGAAGAGTCCAGTGCAGTTTGCTCCCTCTCACATATCCAGGGTTCCCCAGGTAGGCAGATAGTGGGGGAGTTGGGTGCACACAACAGAGGGGCTGGAAGGAGGCCGGGCAACCAGATCCACACTGGACTCCCTCACACACAGGGCTCACAGGACAGCACAGGACTCACTGGGCAGGGCCAGACACACACATAACCATCTTGGATACCAGTGGGCCACAGGGCTACCAAGAGGGGCCAGAATAGGACCCTAGGCTGAGGAACTAAGGGCCAGAGCTGGCACCAAAGTCCTGTGTGTCCCGTCTGTCCACATCAGCTGAGCAGACATGACCCCGTGGTCCACTTTGGGGGTGAGCCACTTCAAGACACCCCAATCAACATAGTGGACAGCACTTCACCTCATGTGACTCGGGATTACGTGTCAGATACCCAAAAGGAGAAACAAAACAGCAGGACATTTATGTGCCCTGCTTCTTAGAGCTACGTCTACCCCGCCTCCGGAAGCAAGCACCACTTCACCCCCTCGCCCCCAAACTCAGCTTAGGGTGGAGGCCTTACTGTCCCTGATCATGAAGGAGCCACTGCTGAATCGGCTTTCTGGGAGCTGCACGGTGGATGATGGACAAGGCTGTCGCATCTCAACAACACAGATGACGAGTGGCCCCTCTCCCTCCACAGGAGCAACGACTGGCACACAGTGAACGCTCACTGCACGACAGGCAGCCCGGGTGCAGGTCTCTGTCCCTAACCTCTCCTTGGTGTCTGTTCTGTGGCAAAGCTGCAGAGCTGGGCGAGGACCTGAGGCCCAGGCACTGACTGGCTGAATGAAACAAGCACAGTTCCTGGTTCTCTTCTAGAAAAGGTGCCTGGGCAGAACAAGTGGGATCCAACACACCCACCCAGAACAGGCAGCAGATGCTCCCGTCCTGGGCCTCCCTTTCCCGTCTGTCCACTGGGGTTTCTGAGGGTACCACACAGCCCAGCATGGCAAGGCATCCCTCACAGGAGCCTCCTCGAGGCCCTCCATCCTTGGGTGCTACCCGCATGGCAGAATCAAGAGGCCTTGTCCTGTGAGGATAGTACTGTCCTGGGAGGGCTGTGCACTCCCCTAGCCATCCCAGGGGAGTGCTAAGAAAAGCACTCCCCTGCTTCCCTCTAGGCCCTGGCACCTCAGAGATGGAACCCACAGAGTGGAGTGACCCAACTCTGGCTGGTCCCATGTACACTGTTGTGCGTCCCCCCGCCCCCCGCCCCAGACTTACTCATGTCTCCATCCCCCTGGTCCACCTTCCTGGTGAGCTCCTCAGCAGCCCTCACAGCCCTCCCACCAGCCAGGGTGGTGGTGGGGAACACGGCCAACAGGACTGCTCTCAGGTGGGAGCCTTTTCCTCCCCTCACCAGATGGTCTCTTTCCGAGCCATAGCTGAGATAACCTAAATGAATCCCTAAAGGGGGGCTGTGTAGGCAGGAAGGACCTGAGGGAGGAAGCGGGGTTGGAAGAACCCCTGGCTACCCCTGCCTAGCTGTCACCAGCCCACCAGGCCCAAAAGAGGGCCAGATGCAGGGGAGCCACCCTAGGGAAGCTGAAGTGTCCCTCAGGTTGGACCACAGCCATCACTACTGCAACCAAGGGATGGTGACAGAAGCCCACCTGAGCTTCCCTAAGCCCAGGCTCCTCAGGTGCCATGCTGCAGGCCGGGACCCTTCCTTCCAGAGCAGCAGAAGTGCAAGGCAAGGCAGGGCTCACAGAGCCATAGCAACCTAAACAACAAATATACCCTGAGGGGCAATCAGGGCAGTGCAGGGTGGGTCCAGGGTGGGGCTGAGCCCCCAAAGAGCAGAAAGGCAGGAGGCTCCCTGGAGATCACATCAGAGATGCCAGGAACCAAAACACAACCCATTTTGGTTTCTGAGAATAAAAGAACCCCAGAAGTCCCAAAGAGAACAGGCATACCAACTGAAAGAAAAACAGATATGAAAGACTCAAGCAGTGACTTCACCAACAGCCAGTGCAGAACTGAGCACCTCTTGGCTTCACCAGTCTCCAGAGCAACGGAAACAAAAGCTACCATGATGCCAGTGTCCCCAGAGGGTGCCTGAAGTGACAGAGCTCAGCGCTGGCCAGGCTGCAGCTGAATGCAGTTCCATTAGAAACCATGGCATGCAGACCCTGAGACTCAGCAGCTCCAGCCTGGCCCTAGACAGGGATGCAGACCTGCACACACATAATGAAAATGAACACGTACTCAGGGGGACTCTTGCTCTTGGCCTTGCATACAGGTGTACGACCTTTTGAGAGAGGAGGACCTAAAACACCTTGTTACCCTAAATCCACTTCAGACACCCACACCAAGCCAGGTGTGGTGGCACATGTCTATAATCCCAATGGCTCAGGAGGCAGAGGCAGGAGGATAAGAAGTTAGAGGCCAATCTGTGCAACTTGGTCAGACTCCATCTCAAACTTTTAAAAATTGAAAAGGGCTGAGAATACAGCCCAGTTCAAATCCCAGCACCATACACACACACACACACACACACACACACACACACACACACCCAAAGCCGTCAGAAAACAGTATCTGCCAGGGGCCTGGCAGAAGGTTGTTAAACCACAGGCAATGATCTTTGAGAACTCATGGTAAAACGCTACAATGGAAACACAAATGAGACTTCCTATGTGCAGAAGAAGCTAAGTCTGCTTGCATACTCTGGTGCCAGACGACCACAGTGGCCGACACTCAGGCAACCTGCATGGTGTCTCCCAGCTTCCACCAGTGTAGCTCCCCACACCCCAGTGAAGCAACTTTCAGGACAAGTAGCCAGACATGGCCAGCCGGGCTGCCTGAAGTCCACGAGAACAAGGCCTGGGAACAGGACCCCTATAGGTTGGTGCTAGCTGGGTGCCTACCTCCACCCACAGCTGCTGCTCATCTGGACAGGTAGGTGAGACTGTAAAGGGCAGAGCAACAGAGCAGGCAGGGAGCATACTGCACACACTCCCCAAGAGCTTTCTCAGGCAGCAACTCCGGCTCAAGAATCTGCAGTTCATGTTGACAGCTCATTAAATCATCAAGCCAGCTGTCCTGCTCTGCCAGAGTTCCAAGCATTCAAAAAGGAGTTGAAGAGATGAGAGTGACATGATAGAGGCAGGGGCAGTTCCCTGATTCACCACCAAGCTGAACCACCTCTCACAGTGCCAGATGTGCATCTGCTTTGTGTATGAGATCCCAAACGACAGAAAGATCAAGACACTGCATACTGTGCCATGCTGGGCCCAAAGGTCAAATGAAGCAGCACTCATAACTGTGAGGCGCTGCACC